AAAATTCATAACCTCGCGGTCAGGGGTTCTGGTGTTAGGGCGGGGCTCTATATAGTGAAAATGCATAAATTCTTTAATAAATCTTTTTCTCTGTCTCTGGGTATTAAAGAAACAACAAAATGCATGGTTATGATGAGCATGCAGGATGACTCTACCAAAAACTCAAAATTCATGCCCCCTGGGTTAGAGGTTCTGATGGTGGGCAGGGCTACATGTATATTGATTATAAAGTGAAAATGCATTAGTGTATTAGCACCTGGCAAGTACAAACATAAATAGATCTGCTTAATGATTTGTAACTGAGTACTTGACTGATTTGTAACTGAGTACTTGACTAACTATTTTGATAACTCCTGGCCATCATATTTCTTTTGATTTTGACCATTACATCATTATCTATCTTTTTTGTGTGTGTTTTATACTTTTATTGATCCTTTGCAGTGTATTATACCTAGGCCCTTTGGCCTCTTGATTTTATAAGAATCTAGTCTTGCTTAAGATTTTCGCCTAAGAAGACTACAAAGAACCCTACACAGATCGAAACTTCATTATTGAAGTTTATTGAAGTTACATGCATCTCTGCACAAGTCTAAAACATATAGCCAATTTCAAACCCATTTTTAAAAGCCACCCTTTTCAATCATCGTGTAGAGAATATAACATTGTCATCTTCAAAACAGTTAATTGGGGAGGTGGGATTAAACTGCGCAAGGGAGTAGCAATTCGGGTTTACAATATGACGAGAAACCAGAAGAAATGATCACATATAAAAAGACCGCTAAAGGTGAAGCTATACTCGTCATATTGTAAACCCGAATTGCTACTCCCGGTTTGTTCCCATTTCGCCTTAACCGTAAAATTTGCCATTCCCATTTCGCCTTAGTACCTTCTGGGGTTTATTAAGGCGAAATGAGAACTTTTGTAAACATATAATTATGCGCATAAGCATTGTTTGCATTGCATATCCGTCCACTCGCACATTATTTTACTAATATGTATCTTTGAGAATAAAATTTTGAAATCCAGATGAGTTGTACAACTCAAGGGTGATAAAGAGTCACATTAATCGTGACGGATTGGAAGAGAACAGTCTTCTCGGAAGGGGGGGGGGGGGTTATCTCACCAAGGACAAGAGCGAATCACTTTATACCACCCAAATGCAGTACGCCGTCTTCATCTCCGTGGTGCCCGGCGATCCCTTTCTAATTAATTAACAAAGATTTTCTATAGATGTGTTATATCCTTGCGAGAGGTAGAACGATTTTCCCCCCAGATTTTCTAGATGTGTTATATCATTATAAGAGGTATAAAACGATTTATCTTAAACATTTTTTAGCTCAAAACATTTTCATTGAAATGGATTTAAATTCTAGATATTATAGTATTTGTTCTATACTCAGGTGGTGAATTGGTGTGTTCCCCGAACGTCTACTGGACAAAAACAACATCTAATTATCATACTCAATTAAGGGGCCCTCTAAGGGGTACGGGTAGAGTTAACTGTGCCTGCATTTATTGAATGAGGAATTCTACAGCAACATTTTTTTTTATATCTTTAATGCATCCCTTTTGAAACATGGTTTCAGCATTGAAAGATTGATATATTTATTATTTTACTTGATTTTTTTCAGATGAAATGTATAAATCTTTGAAGATTTTATCCATTGGTTTAAAAAAATACTAAAAATAGTGTGTTTAATTTTCATAAATAATTTTTTATCAAAAATAAAAACGTGTCTGAACTTTGATGTAAATAAAACGGTGCTAACATACAGATATTGCTTGCAAACAAAGAGGTAGCTACATGTATATATGGTTTAAATAGTGAGAGAAGGGACAACCTCCCAAAGAAATCTGACAAGTAAAATTAAAATAATAATTAAAAAAAAAATCTTGAAAATCCTATTTTGTGTGTTCGTGTGTGGGAAGGGGTGGAATTTCTCTGTCTGTAGATTTTTTTTCAAGTGCTGAAATTCGCCAGCGCTCGGCCTTACAGCAACAAAAAGTAGAGGGGGACCAGCATCTAAATGAAAATTAACATGTTAAATCTAGAGAAAAGTCTATACTACAGGAAAAGTTTATACTCAGAAAAATATGCCCCCTTTCGTCCTTTTTCCCTGGAGTTGAAGAATTCCAATACTTAAAGTAATTTGTATATCTATATATGCTGTTGTACACTTCTTCTAAAACAAGTTTGGATAAACAAAACATCTAGAATATGTGTTTAGTAATTTTTGTGTATTTTTCTTTGAATTATAGAAGAATTTTCATCAATTGATATCTTTTCAAAACCCCTGGTAATACGTGCATCTGATGGCACTATATCTAAAATTAAGAATATTTTGAAAAAAAATTATCGGTAGGTAAGGTACGTTGCGTATGTCCTTAAACAAAGCTTAAAATGTGATGCAAGTAATGCTTCAAGTGCCAAGTGTTAGGTTAAGAAATAATGTTTAAAAATAATGCATAAACATGCAATCTATTAATTTACATGTCTTGTGCAGTAATGTTTCTTTTTCGAATTTTAAATAAAAATTTTTATTCTATGAACACTTTTCTGTGCCTTCAATTATAACAAGTATTTAATCAATAAATATGTGCTTAATTACACAATTTTACCAGTAGATTTTAAATTTAGACTAATTTGTTAAATCAAGGTAACACAGGTAAACTCTACCTGGACCCCTTAGAGGGCCTCTTAACTGAGTGTGATAATTAAATAGTTTTTAGCGAGTAGACGTTCGGGGAATAAACCCTCAAGGTCATGCCTTAAAGGCCAAGGTCAATGAGATTGAGTCATGGTGTTCAGACTTTAATTTTGTACCTGTCAATTAATTCAAACTAATTAAATGGTGACCTAAACGAATATCGAGTTTTAAACCATTATTACGGAGTCATTGAATGGAATGATTCCAACCTGAGTATCTTGATGCATATAGCATAAATTTGTCACTGAAAAAAAGTCAATCTCACTCAAGTTGACAAGGAGATGCTGGAATTTGATGCAATTCTCATCAAGTCAAATTAAATTTTCTCTCATGTTAAATGATAATCTTTGCATTATATCAGATTTTATATTGTTAAAAACATGTTGTTCAGTGTCATGAAGTACTAATTTAAGGGTTATGACTAGAAAGAGAAAACACCCGTTTTGCCAATCTGCCTTGCAGAGTTGTTCTCTCTAACACACATAACGTATTACACATGATATCCCAATTGTTATTTCAAATTAAACTAATAGTTCTAGATCTATGTAGTTAATATCTATCTTAAAGGGCAAACATTATCACAGACATTTAATAATAATGAATTAAAACAAACGCACCATTTCTCGTGCTTATCATTGTAACGACGGAGGTGAATGTAAAGTGCCGTTTTGCCCCCACCTCACCATCAACACCCTTGCACATTCACAGACATGCACTTGAGGTTTTTTTTTCAAATTCTCTTTATTGATGATTTAAAACGTTGGGTCCTTGTGGCTGTAAAATCGTGAAATTAGGGAAAATGTTGGGATTCAATTATAAACACTTGTGTTTCTGTTGTAGAGCTATTGTATTTGCAGTTCTAGGCTGTTAAAATATAAACACGTATGTTGGAGGAAGACACTGAACTAAGTACAATTGACTCTAAGATACATTAATCATAGGAGACTCACGTCTTTTACGATGAATGAACTATATCTAATAATATATCTACTTAAAAGAGGAAATGTACTACTTGACTAAAGCTGTGACTGAATCAACACAAGGAAGACCATCGGTACATCCTTACCCAGATCAATTTTACACAACTCAGTTTGATTATAAGATGCAAAGTTCAAGCAAACACTAGACCTCAAAAATTGAAGTACAATTCTGTACGACAATATATATCACTGAGATTGCCAGGCCCGTTGCTTCGGTTTCAAACGTGAGGGGGGGGGGGGCTTCCCCAAAATCTGACAAAAAAAACCTACACTGACCAAAAGTGGGGGGGGGGCAACTTCCCAAAATTATCTGACAAGTAATAAATAAATAAATAATTAATAAATCAAAAAAATTAAATAGAATTAAAAAAGCTTATTTACTGTCCAAATCCTGGAATTTGCCTGTGTTCGACCTTTCAACATCAAAAAGTGTGGGGGGGGGGGGGACCAGCATCTAAAGGAAAATTTACTATAGCAAAAACTATACTCAGTCTGATTGCCAAGTATCCGATGGTAACAAAATATACATTTCAAAGTATATTTAGTACCGAAACTTTGAAAACCGCGGCAGAGAATTCAAAATTATTGTAAATTTTCTAATCCAATCACTATATACATGTATTAAAAAGGTATACTTTTCTTGGTGAACAAAAGGATTCTCTTTCTAATATATATATATATATATATATATATATATATATATATATATATATATATATATATATATATATATATATATATATGGATTTGGTACACTAGCTGTAAGATCTGTACAATTTTTAGTAGGTAGAATTTCTGTACAATCATTATAAGATTTAATTAACCTCTACGTATTACAAAATTACCAAACATTAATGGATGGAAACGGTGTCCTTTAAATATAACTAACAAAATCGTCTTTTGTTCTATTTCTAATTGTTTTATTTTCGTCTTTACATCCGACAATGAAATTAAGCACGCAAATATTTGCTGTGTTCTGAGACAAAAGACCTCCTTTTACGAGTTTATGCTTAAAATAAAAAGATCGGTGAAAACAAACAAACGTTAATTGAACTTGTACTGGATTTGGTACTTAATGTAAAGTACAGAGTTCAGTCAAAGTCATTTTAAAGAGATTACTTCATTGTTTATAGACGTATAATCACAGAAGGTGGACCTTTGACCAAATACGGCTAGCGAGCCTCTCTACTTCCCACTGTTCATAAAGTTTGTATCACATGACAGCATAAACACTTTTCAGAATGTATATATATAATCTCCTTGAGCTCATTGTAAAATGCGCCAAATTTTTAAGCTGAGTACATATGTTTCCTGCTACACTGCCCCTCTCGCTCTCCATTCATTAATAATTCCTGGGAAATGAAAATCACATTATTTTTTAATGTAACGGTGTTTTGTTGTGTCCTATGCGATTTGGACCCAAAGGAATTTCCTAATAGTTTTCAGGCTCTCGAACAAGAGTACTGCATGAGCACCTACAGGTGTGGAGGGAACGTCACCCTCCCGGACAACTGTCGGTGTGACACTGATTGTGTCGTGTACGGGGATTGTTGTCCTGGAGATGTGAACGAAAAACCGGAAAAAGCCAAAGTGATTCCTAAATTCACGTGCGAGTATCGAGAGGATATTGACCCTGAGAACTTCATATACATTGTCAATTCGTGTCCCCGTGGTGCTGATACAGAACTAAAAAACAAGTGTGAAAATGTAAGCGGGAGTGATGTTTTTGAACGTATTCCAGTCAGTGGGCAAAAGTCGGGATTTCTATATAAAAACATGTATTGCGCGTTGTGTAATGTAGATAATTACGTAATATGGAACCCTGGGATCCTATGTAAATGGAAGTATACTTTGCCAGAAAAATTAAAAGTTTCGTTATTATTAAATGATACCAATTGCCGTGTAACTTATTCCCCTCCTAAGGGAAACTTAACGCAAAGGACTTGTTTTCCTATCACAACGGCAGAGAGTTGCCAAAATGAAACTCTAATGACGTCATGTAAATTCGGAAATTATGCACCGGTATTCGGATTGAACATAGCCTATCGAAACACCGATTGTGCAAGATGTCAAAATTTTCCTGAACTTAACCTGACATGCAACTTTAAGTCTTCACAATTGATTCCTAGTAAAACAAAACGAAAAATTTACAACTTCAGTTACAGAGTTCTATTTGATTTGAATAGTAAGCAGGAATTGTCAGAGACGCGATTCAGATCTTCAGTACAGAACGAAAGTACAAGCCCCCTATCCTCCATCTGCGACAGGAACCATTTGCTGGATCCATTTACCGACCAGTGTTACAAGATTGTGTGCAAACCTCCATTTATTTATCAAAATGGTAAATGTTTATTGAAGGAGGGATTCACAAACGACCCAAACATCACCTCGTGCATCTCTAGGCTTTTTCGCCAGAATGAGTTTAAAAAAGTAAATTCTTCTTCAATTTTCGTTTTTTCTCTGAGTAGAACGATCACTAATTTTACCTTGGAGAAAAATGAAACAGTTGCATACGTTTGCATAAACGAAAGCAAAATTGATGATCCATTGATCAACACGAGACTGACAACCGATTTTTCAAAAGAGGAAAGCCTTTTGTCTTTCATTGGTGGAATTTTGTCTATAACGTGTCTTTTTGTATGCCTTATTGTTTACTTTTGTTCCTCAAAATTACACAATGTACCTGGTAAAAATATCATGTGTCTAATGGCATCCTTGCTCGTGGCTCAATTGTTATTTCTACTGGCGCCATTTATCTTTGAGATAAAAAATCAAAGTTTATGTGAGGCCCTTTCAATTTTTACACACTTTTCCTTTCTTGCAGCCTTTTTCTGGATGAATGTCATGTCTTTCGACATATTTTTCACGTTTTCAAAGGGTTTTATAAATTCGGGTGAAAGGGGAAGTACCTCGAAGCGTTTCCGATTCTACTCGATCTATGCGTGGTTAGGTACTTTCATTGTTGTTGGGACTGCGACCTTGGTTAATTACACTTCAGATTCCAGCCTCAGACCCGCGTATGGCAGAGGCTTCTGTTGGATTTCAAACAGCCGGGGTCTGCTTGTTTTCTTCTTGGTTCCTATTGCAATTCTGTTGCTTTCAAATATCATTTTCTTCATTGTGTCTGCTAAAAGCATACACACTTCATCTAAGAAGACGTCACGAGTTCTACAGAAAAAAGATGCTTGTAAGTTATTTATTTATATTAAGCTTTCGGTTGTGATGGGGTTAACCTGGTGTTTTGGATTCCTTGCATCAGTAACAAACCACGTGGTGACATGGTATTTGTTTATCTTCTTTAATACTTTACAAGGCTTTTTTATTGCGGTGTTTTTTGTTTGTACAAAAAAAGTATTTCGAATTGTACGAGATGGTGCCACTTCTTTTTATTCAAACACCAGGTCCTTCACTTTGACAAAATCTATGAATTCTAAGTCAGAGAGTGAAGAGTATAGGAACCATGTGTTACGGAAGTACAAAGCTACAGAACCGATCTGATAGAAACATATCCTGGAGGAAGTGATTCCAGTATTTAAAATGTATTTTGAACTTTAAAATATGTAAATAAAAACAACTCCAAAGTAAAAATACTTATTATAGTCATATTTTTTGTTATTCTCGCAAACATGTTGTGATTTTTCTTTGTTATTAAATAGAAACATAACTTTGTTTCTTAATGAACAGTCTTAATTGTAAATCATGGACATGCATCGAACAAGTCCAAACAGTCCAAGCGTTTTTCGTCCTATGATTTAAAAAGAAATATTTGATTTTTAGATAAAATATGAAGATAATGAACAGCAATCAAACTCAAAAGTCCACTGAACAATACAAATTGGGAGCAGAGAAAATACAGACCTCTTAAACATGAGAGGTGGGATCAGGTGTCATGGAGGAGTAAACATCCCTTAATTTTAATAGCAATGGCAACAACTCTAATAATTCGTATGCCTTTTAATTTAACAGCACCCTGCCAATATTGAAATTTTATATTGATTATTTGAAAATTTAATGATAATAATGGCTTACTAGTATATCCATATTTATTCATTTAATCATTTGCTTTTTTAAAATTTGACCATATAGACAGTGTGATTTTAGCTTAAATTAATCTTTATATTGATTGTTAATACACAAATCACCCTTGCAGTTCAACAAGGTAATGGTATTCTTTAATATGGATTTTTAATGAATGTAAATAGAACATAAATAGTGCTGTAGCTATAGCTTGCTGAATTCGATCAATTCTTACTATAGCCATAGTGCTGCTGTAACGCGCCATCTGGTTAGAGACTGGTATTCTCTGTCCAGAGTTGTCGTTCCCACATACACCTCTGTCAATATTCTCCTCTGTGAATTCTTGGTAATATTTTAAATTATGAAAAATAATATTTCAAATAGTTTTAATAATTGTTTTAATCTATCATCCCTTGAAAGATTTTTTTCTCAAAGTTTTAAATTTGTAGACCGCAAAACAAAATACCCCCCCCCCCCCCCCCGTTTTAAGGGATAACAGATTTAAAATAAACAAACATCATCTTAATCCATAATTATAAAAACTAATAGCGATTTAATTAAGATTTTTTTCACCGTTTGAAACTTGAAGAAGAATCTTGAACAGGCCCGTACTTGCAGAATTTTTGCACGGATTTGATATACTTAATTTCTTAATCCTTTTAAAGATGGGTTCGGGAATCAGAATGTGGATCCATTTCAAGTTTTATGGTCGATACAATGACCTTGTCAGCACATACAACCTATCATTGAGTCAAATGCTGACTGACGTTTTTCAAACTAATTGTTAGGCCATCATTTATACACCGAACTGTCTACGGATTTTTCAGTTTTCCCCCTATCATGACAAGGAGAACATGGCGAGTGTGACCGATCGGCAGGGGATGCTCACTCCTCCATGGCACCTGATCCCACCTCTAAATTTTGAGGTCCGTGTTTGCTCTGCTCCAAATTTGTATCGTTTCATTGGACTTTCGAGACTGAATACTGTTCGTTATCTTCTTATTTCATCCAAGTAGTACCAGATACCTGATATGTCTATAATAGAGAAGTAATTTTGACCATGTACCCGGTAGTACCAGATACCTGATATGTCTATACTAGAAAGGTAATTTTGACCATTTACCCGGTAGTACCAGATACCTGATATGTCTATACTAGAAAGGTAATTTTGACCATTTACCCGGTAGTACCAGATACCTGATATGTCTATACTAGAGAGGTAATTTTGACCATGTACCCGGTAGTACCAGATACCTGATATGTCTATACTAGAAAGGTAATTTTGACCATGTACCCGGTAGTACCAGATACCTGATATGTCTATACTAGAGAGGTAATTTTGACCATGTACCCGGTAGTACCAGATACCTGATATGTCTATACTAGAGAGGTAATTTTAACCATGTACCCGGCAGTACCAGATACCTGATATGTCTATACTAGAGAGGTAATTTTAACCATGTACCCGGTAGTACCAGATACCTGATATGTCTATACTAGAAAGGTAATTTTGACCATGTACCCGGTAGTACCAGATACCTGATATGTCTATACTAGAGAGGTAATTTTGATCATGTACCCGGTAGTACCAGATACCTGATATGTCTATACTAGAGAGGTAATTTTAACCATGTACCCGGTAGTACCAGATACCTAATACCGGTATTTCTAAACTAGAAAGGTAATTATGACCATGAAATAACATCGACTCGTAGAAAAGCAGTCAATATGCACCCCCCCCCCCCCCAATAGATTGAACATAGATAAATATTGAAATATTTCCCCCTACAGTACCACCATCTTAAGAAAAGTTCAATTTAGATCTTTTTGGTTTGTTTTTTAAATTCACACTTTCTAATGAAAGAAGCTAAAAGACTCGCATTCTAGCATCTAAACATGCTTTATACCGGTATTATGTAAATAAAAATGAAAAATGTGAAGTTATGTTTTTCGAGCATATTTATAAGAAAAATTATGGATATTTATTAAAAATTATATATATAGTAAAAATTGCGTGTAAAAAATATGATATTATCGTGATATTTTTAGGGAAAGTCGTGATACGATGACCAAACTTAAAATTAAATGGATGATGAGAATAAGGATACATATTTAGATTATGATTAAGATACCATGTGATCCATGTTTTCTGGACGAATTATCAGAAGGATGTTTTTGCACTGTTTAGTAAAGGTCCTACCTTGACCAATGTACACTTGTAGCATCTAGGGAGATTTTACTGTCAGTCAAACTTTTGATTTGTATTTTCTGGATAAGTAATCAGGTAGGCTAGATTGTAATTATAAGCTTTGCCTATATAGACCATACTTGCAGGGATGAGGTATCTAGGGATGCTTGCTACCAATCCTTCCTGACTCTGACTATGTTTTGTTGATGAGTGATCACGTAGTTGGGTAAACTGATCAGGTCCATTCCCAAGGAAATGCAAGTCCTATACCTTCAGAGCAGTGTGTCATAAATTTCGCGTCTTGAGATACATTTTACCACTCATGTTTCGGATGATGCTTGTGACCTATACATTTTCTGAATGAGTGATCAAGTATATGTTTTTGAAGTTCGTAAGCAATCTAGAATAGATATCCTGCAAATCTTACCTTGACTAGTTATTCATAGATCGATGTTACATCTTGTGATGCATATTGTCAATCATGTTTTGGATGGCATCTAACCCACGTGCACTGCATGGAATTTAATGCATTATATTGAGTATCTGCATGTATAAAAATCATGTGTGCACATGTGGGCTATGCTTTTTAACTCTTGCAAAAAAATAATAATAAATAAATAAATAAATAAATGAATAAATAAAAAATTAGAAATAATTTAAAAACTACATGCAGGAAACTCTAAAGTCCCGTTTATATTCACACATTATTTTTGCACCCGATGTATTCTAGCGCATGTATAGCGTATATTGACCTTCTGTTGTATCCATAAGTCTAGATATTATCTTAAGTATCAGTTGTTAATAAGTACTTAATAAGTACATGGGGCCGGGAGGCATTCATCGTCGCAAGCCACGGGTTTTGTATCCATTCTATTTCCACAAACCGGGTTTGTGGAAATAGAATGGACACAAAACCCATGGCTTGCGGCGATGCATGGAAGCATTGAGTTGCAGAACTATTAGAAAACCTGAACAAGTACAATTCAATTCGTTTATTGACCAATTAAGGGCCCTCATGGGGCAAAAAGAAAGAACATTGTTAAAATGTATATAAAGATTATGATCATACACACGAAATACAATATACATATACATAAGAGGGAAAGAATTGCTTGATTGATAGAAAAGACATACAAGTAGGGGAATACCCAAAATATATTTAAGACTTGTTTTATAGGTATATATACAGTACGTCATATATATATGCATACATTACTAAACCATATACTTGAAAGTATCATACTTTTACATAATTAATAAAAAAAAAAAAATAAAAAAAAAATAAAAAAAAAGTTACATTCCTAAAATTTATGGTAATGTTTTTTGTAAAAATCTTCCAAGAGAGTTTAGTATATCTAGTTCTTCGCAATTTAGAATCCAGAATATTTTTTGTTTATCAGGCAAATCTGTAAAATGTTTTACTTTAGATGAGATCAGGTTAAATAGGTCTTCTCTTTCCTTTGTAAATTTGCTACAGTGAATAAGGAAATGTTCTTCATCTTCAATTTGATTAAGCGTACAATTTTTACATATTCTTTCTGATCTGGGTGTGTTATTATATCTGCCTAATTCTATGAAAAGTCTGTGCGCTGATACACGTAATCTACATATTGGTTTTCTGTATTCAGGTTTTAATAAAATTAGATATTTTTCCAATCTAAAATTGTTCTTCAGAAATAAATAAGTGACAAGTTTGCCCTCTTTTAGTGTTTCATTTGAGTGTTGCCAATCAAGTGAGTATTTTTTATTCATGGATTGTTTTAATGAAATCATAAAATTACTCTTAGTATAGGACATTATGTTTGGGATATCAAGAATTTTTAGTAATTTTTCTATTGAGGAGTACCAAGTTGTTTTTTTTGGGCGAAATGAAGTTCCTTACTACATATAAATGCATCTTTTAGCAAAGGGAAATCTGAATTTAAATTTTCTAATCTGTAGCAATATTTAAGTAACATGTTGATAATATCATAATGCAAAGGATATCTACCCAATTCTGAAAGAGAGGCATGGTTCGTACTTTTCCTATTCAAACCTAGTATAGTTTTACAGAACTTGATGTGTAAATTTTCTCCTCTAAAGTTTTTATAGCATAGTTGCATCAATATTTGATTAGATTGCTTTATTTTTGAATTATTAACATTAAATATTCCCCATATTTCTGAGCCGTAAAGTAATATAGGCTTAATTGTGTGATCAAAGACATTGAGGCTAGTGGATATCCCAGGATTTAAGCTAAGGATGTCTTTTCGTAACTTGAAAAAAGCTTTAAGTCCCTTTTTGTATAACTCATTTTTTGCCATAGAGAAAGTCCCCGAGGCTGTGAAATAGATGCCTAGATATTTATAACTAGATACACATTCAATATTGAAATTTTTGTAGTGAAATTTATGTTTGATTGTTCTCCCAGCTTTGTTAAATATAATAATTTTCGTTTTATTAGAATTTACCTTCATACCCCAATCATCACAATACTTTTCTAAAGAATTTAGCTTTTGCTGTAGTCCTTCAGGTGTTGATGAAAAAATTACTATATCATCTGCATACATCAAACAGTCTATACTTTTCGAGTGTAACATGACAGAGTCTATACAGCCTTGTAAATATGATGGCAAATCATTTATAAACATTTTAAATAAAGTTGGACTCAAGTTATCTCCCTGACGTACACCTAATTTGATAGGAAATGAAGAAGTAAGAAGATTTCCATACTTGACACATGCTTCACTTTTCATGTATACATATCATTTACAATGTTATAAATTTTATTTCCAACATTGTATTGCAGTAGTTTCAATTTCAAACCATTATGAACAACACTGTCAAATGCCTTATGAAAATCATGTATTGACATAATACTTGGAAGTTGCCAACGTCATACCGATTTTCATACAGTTTGATATAGTGCATGTACAAGGCCGTCGGTACTAATGCATCTCCTCATAAAAGAACACTCGAAAATCATTGGGGGAAATTTGTGGATTTTTTTCGATGAACTTAATCAAAGCGCAATTTACGGCAAATAATGTCAGCAGCTTTGAGGAAAGAATCAAAAACTTGTCCAGATTCCAGATTAAAAATAAAAACTAGAAGTTCCAGTTCTTCACAGAACAATATTAAGGGGCCTTTCAATTTTTTTTTAAATTTTATTTTTAATTTTTTTTAAGGTGGGGGTGGTCTAATTCTATATACTCCTAATAATCAATATGAAATAAAATACGCAATAAAAAATTAACTATAGTAAATTTAAAAAAAAAATTAAAAAGCACAATAAAATGAAATTAAAATAAATATTCGAAAGTACAACTCTTATTTCGATGTTAGTATGCAAAAGTATGCCACAGGTTACTAAGTTTACGCAAGTGGTGCCAGCTTAGAAATCTGGGGATGTATAGGAGGTGGAATGGGCCGTTTTTAGGGCAAAAAAAAAAAAAAAAAAAAAAAGGAAAGGGTCTGGAAAAAAATATATAGCTTGAGGACGGCCCTGGAAATACGACTGACATTTACACAACAGGAGTAAAATTTGCATATGTGTGAAATTTACACCTGTGAGTAAATGGGCACACAAGAACGGGGCTTCAGTTACACGATACTCACTCAGTGATTATTCCTTTGGTTGTATATAATATCTAATGGATGTCACTCATTGGTCATTTTGGATTTTTTTCATCACAAATTTTGCATTCCGACGTCTAGTCTGAAATATCTGACGTTTTCCTGGCTTTTTTACTATTTTTATATTTTACGTGCCTGGCTGGCACGTAAAATATAAAAATAATAAAAAAGCCAGGAAAACGTCAGATATTTGGGACTATCCGACGTCTTGTGATAGCTACTGTAAAAGTTCTGAGCCAGAGGTGTTTCGAACACTGATGTATACTAGAAAGAAGTTCAATATAGTTAATTAGTTTAGGATATTTTTGAGGTATAATTAATTAAAATGAAAATAAAAACTCAATGTCTGATTAAAATGATACACGTTCTAATAAAAAAAAAACTTCCTTAAATGGCAATATCACATAGTTTTATCAGGGACCTTAGTATATAGGTCCCTGGTTTAATGATTTTTTTTTTGATTTTTTTTTTGAGTGGGGGCACTTGCCCCCCTGCGACTACAAAAATTCAGGAGCTTTTAAAAGGGGTACACCATCTTATTATTTTTATTTTACTTTCACATCAATTTCTGGTCGTAAATTATGCTGGTATTATGTGTATTTTTTAATTATAAACTAAATTTCTTTTCGGGTAAAATCATTAGAGTTATAGCAAAATTTCATGTGGTTATGAGTGGACAGAGTGAAGATTTACCTTCAGTGCCCTTCCTCTTTGTTTATGGCTTTTCGGTGTTTAGTGCCCCTCATCCGGGTTTCTTTCATACTTGAAAGCGAGACTTAGCGCGAGGATGCGTGACAGTTTTCTCGAAGTTTGAAATTTTAGCAAATTGTAGGGAAAATATTGGTAAGACACAATAATAAATCATATGCATGTTTGAATAATATGTTAGACGGTGCAACCGTTAGTGAGGGCGGAGCCATCAAGAGAACATATCCATATTTTATTGTTTAATGATAAATCAGTGTTAAAATGTAATTGTAATCAGTGTCAGAAAATCGTAACAAAGATCTTAGTCCTTTTTAAAAAAAAAAAAAAAATTCTTTTACCTCAAGCACTTTTCATCCAAATAACGAAATTTAAGGATATCTGGTAAACTTACAGTACACTATGATGTTTCATTACGAGTTGCCTAGCCAGAGCACTCAAAATCAAATAGCATAACGGGAAAAGAGAGAGTACGTGCAGTGGACCAGTCATGGATTCAACCTACCCAGGCTCTAGAACTCTAAAACGTTTGTATCTGTCCAAAAATTAATAAACAGACTTTCCTGAGCATCATTTCTTTATTTTTCATGACTACATGCACATTTAAAGACACCAAATGATATAGAAACATCAAGTCATTTAATACTCATCAGACATTAAATACAAATAGGGACAATTGTCAGGGACCACATCAGATGACGATCTTGGGACCCGAACTACAGACAGATTATCTACCTCCTGGGTTATCAGGACACTTGGAAACTGATCATCTGACTGACACTAAGGCTGGGTATCCTGAGAAAAGTATTAGTTTTGCAAAATTTCTGAGAAAAATTGTGCAATGCATGTATGAGATATCTTTCTTTTTTTTTTTTTACATTAATTGGTTTCTCATTAAAAATTTTCTAAACTTTAACTTTAAATGTAGATTTCACAATTTCAGTATTTTTAAAAAAAAACAAAAACAAATCTGATTCAAATAGTCTCTTAAGAAAAACGAATTTAACTCGATAAAAGATATTAAAATTTCAGTCAATTGTTTATGTGAATACTATATTTTTTATAAACAAAACTTGTTAACAACAAGCACACTTCTGGGAAGAATCCCTTTTGTATCACAAGTAACATCGTTGCAAGCCACGGGTTTTGTGTCCATTCTATTTCCACATTGTGGAAATAGAATGGACACAAAACCCGTGGCTTGCGACGCACAAGTAATTGATGTTTTCTTACATCCCTATCCACCACGCAATAAAAAGGATCATATATGGAAGCTTTAAAATGGTATTTTTAGTACTGCTCAACAACATTGACCTCTTTACATGGATTACCATGGGTAATGTCAATTGAGGATTCTGTATTTGCTGGGGTTTTTTTAAGTCAAGAGAAAATTTATTTATAGTATAGAAAACTTTATTATAAATATTTGCAGTATTTTTAGGTACATGTAATATATATTTGTGTATATTTATTTACTGGTACATGTAGATTGAACGGCTACCTCTCTGTCAATCATACATTGTTTAACTTAGTTTTTCTCATATGATTTTGGACTTTATACACTATCGTAATCCACCACGGGTTCCAACTGAATGAATAAATTTTCTGTTCCATGTTTTTAAATGTACTTTCTTAAATAAAAATTAGAAATCCTAAACCTTTTTAAAATTATATATTTGATCCGTTAAAGTGTATCACAGGTATATATATGTAGATGGAACTGGGAAGTGTTTGTTCAAGTTCAAATGAAATATCTATATTAATTTTATAGGTAACAGAATCAAATGTGGTAGTTTGAGCTTCAGACATGTTAAAAGATTTTTCTTTTGATGGTGAACTTCAGGAAACAGGAAATTGACACTTTAAAAAAAAGATAAAAATTTTTTGGAAAAAAATAAACAAATTCACAACAACAAAAAGAGACACAGATCCCCACCTGCAAATGAATACATTAACAAGCAGGTAATCAAAAACAAATTGGGTACAAGAATTAAATAAAGAGAGAGAGATAAAAAAAATTAAAATCCAACCCCCCCCCCCCACTGTTCTGGAGTCCATACCAGAATTCAGTTAATCTTTTCAGGAAATATTCTACCAATAAAACATTTTTTAAATTATTCAACAGGAAAATTATACTATTCACAAAAAAATCTTATATTTCTAGCTTGTTGCGTTGAGAATAATCCTCAAGACATTCGTAATTAGTAAATTTTATTATTATCAAATATTTCTTTAAAGTCTGGTGAAAGGGGCCACAGAAAGATCCGCCCCTCCATGTGCATAATACGCAGTCTAGACAGTGACGTCACTGGAATTCGTTAAAACCGAGTTTTCTTTTTTTATTTCCTCAAAAACATAGTATGGTTTATTAAAAGTTGTAAATTTGTTTTTAAAAAGAGATTACGTATATAAAATATCAATTATTAAAGGTTGTTAAATAAGTCGACAGTTTCCGCTAATTCAGTCAATGAATGACGTCATATGTCGGGTCTATGACGATCGATTGCAAGTTAGGCTAGGCCTAGATGAAAACGAAAGTAACAAGGATGTGTACTATAAAGATGTTTTTGATTATTGGAATTGAGGAAACTTCATTAACGCAGGATTGGAATTAAAATTAAGCTTCACCAGCATCTCGTTAAAGCGGGAATTTGTCGCGAGATTCAAGATGGATAAGACTATGGACGCCATATTGGCGACAAGGTTCTCAGTTCTATGGGTATTGTAATAAAAATATAGTTTACAATAGAATTCAATATATTTTACATACATACGTGTTACCTATAGGGAGAGCTTCGCTCTCACGGGCCCGAAGGGCCCGTGAGAGGGCTCCGCCCTCTATAATTAAGGTAATTAATTTTAAACTGTGCGAAAATACTATTTGATGTAAGTTGATGATAAATATTTATGTTTGCAGACGACAATATTGTGAAAGGGTTGCATCTGTATTTATTATAAAAATTCATTCTTTTCGTAATTATTAATGTATTTAGAAGGCAGAAATGGAGCATTTCAACGTCTCTGTTTCTGGATGTATGCAAATATCATGATGTAGCCGTGTAAAAAACTTTAATTTGCTCCAAAATCGTTGTGTTTATATTAGTTATTTATAGATTCTATAATAACTATAACACGAGGTGCTTCTATTCCTTGTTTGGGTTATAGTTGTGTGAGTAGTGGGAAAAATATGTGATAGTAGACATAAAAATTAGCCAGATAGATTAAAAGTGGTCAGTCATTACAGAGTTGGGTAATGCAATGTAACTGTTATGCAATTTATTGAATAAAAGTGATATTCTGTCACAGTGTGAAAGAATATAAGAAGTGCGGCAAAACTCAAGATTTTCCTTCCCTTCTGGCTTCATAAACAGTTTCTAAAAATATACTCCGTGGTCTGTTATAAGAAGAGAGAGTAAATAAACCATCCTGACAGAGACTTCATCTGCCAGTTTTTCCCAAGTATATTGTTGAAATGCATATTTACAATGTTTTCAATCTCTCAATCGCCTAATTAGTTATGACATCTCAACCATTCAGCAATGATGCCGCAGTCTATGACACTGTGTTGCAAAAAGACTGAGGCAAAGAGAAAAAGAAAAATGTAATAAACAGAAATTTTTATGTTTTGTAGTTGAATGTGGATTATTTTTAATGTGTGAGAGAGGATTTTTGATATTTTCACTTGTGCTTAGCACTCGTGAAAATATGAACCAAAAAATCCTGTCCCAGTGTCCCACTCATGAAAAAAATTCCATATCCAACTACAAAACATTGAATCTCCTCTCTGAATTTTGTAGACACAGGTAGAAAGTTCTAATGTTAAAATGATAATGTCCTACAAACCCTGTTTCATAATAGAATGGGTGCTGTGTATTGACAATTAGCAAAATAAACAAGGGCGATAACTCAAACTATCAACAATAGAGTTTTGAATTTCAACATGGCAGATCAATTTGAAATGGAAGAAAAAAACATTGAGAAAATGTGTTGAAATTTCCATTTAATATGTGGGTTAACTTTTTGAGTGGATGGTATCCAGATTCTCAAAAAGGTTTGTTATAATTGATTTGGTGTTTATTTTCAATACCATTTCACTTGTTTCCCCCAAAATTGTTTGGGAGCAATTCTGCAATTTCCAGATTCTCAAAAAGGTTTGTTGTAATTGATTTGGTGTTTATTTTCAATGCCATTTCACTTGTTTCCCCCAAAATTGTATGGGAGCAATTCTGCAATTTTCTGCTACATTGAATATGGGAGCATTATATCTGTGTTCAGAGCCTGTGAGCTGTCCTAAATACACAGATTATTCTAGCTATTCCATAGAATATTTTTCCCCTTTAAATGTGCTGTTTAAGGAAGTACACTATATTTTCACATGCATATATGATCACATGAGCGATTAATAGAATCAATAAAAAGACACAAATTCCAAAGTAAGCTGAAATTAGTATTCCTTGAAAAAAAAAGGTTTAAGAAGTTTTTAAAACAGTTTTATTTTATAGATAAAATATTTTGTGAATTAATGTAATATTGTTGGTACATGCATTACAGTAAATTGCGAAAAGGGGGCGGTTATTTTAATGTCATATTTTAACTTCAAGAAATCTTTTGAAGAAAAAGTTTAATTCAGAGAGCCACTAAATATTTGTCTTACTTTCCTTTACCATAAGATAATCCACCAAAATTATGCTCAATGATTTATTTTTCCACTGAAAAAAAGTAGAGAATACACAAGGAGAACAAATAGTAGATAACTTTCACTTTCAGAAATACATAATGTTTAGATGGTTTTAAGAATCTTTCACTTTCCGAAATACTTTATATAGGAAATACCCAATAACACTAACAGTTTTATTTTCACTTTCTTCAAATTCTATATGTTTCTAGATATTTGTAATCGCAGTATGGGGGGCCCTTATTGCTCGACAATTGAAAAAGTCCTAGAGGGGCACTTACAGGGTCAGGGGTGGTTAAAAGGGATTTTACAGTAATTGGAATTAATATGGTCATTTGATCAATTTTGAAGTAATTATCAGTAATTTGGTGTGCTGACTGGTGAGGTAATGTCTTCATTTTTGAATGTCAACTTTGATGTAAGAGTTTATTATAAAGATACAGAGATTAATTTTTGCCAAAGATTGTGAGTAACATTACATTTAACATTAGTTTGATTCAAGTTTTTATTGCTTAGTGAATGGCAACAGGATTTGGAAGAGGCGGGCGAGGTGCAGCTCTTCTGCAGGCACTAAATCAGCCTATCAGAAAGCCAGGAGAACAAGATGAGGTGAGTGAAGAACAAACTTACAAATTCAAAACAGTCAGTTGCTAAAGTACAATTGGGAATTTGGTAAAGTAAAGCACTTTTCATATGAAGCACAACCCTAAATGGGAAAACAAACTTCAAAGTGTGGAAATAAAAGCTAAAATTTGTATATTTAGATCCTTGCATTCTTTGTCAGGGGATCAGATGCCTACTAACCGAAGCAATTCAAAATTTGCTGAATGCACAATCTATGTAAGAAAATCTCTGATGTAATGTGTAAAAGTGTTAAAATTTGTTGATGAATGATTTAAAGGAACTGTCTTAAAGTCTTTATTTATGGTTTAGAAGAAGCCAGCACCATCAGGTGATGCCCCAGCACCTCCTCCAGCAGTACCCACCACAGTTGCTGGTCCAGGAAGTATACCTGTGGGCAGAGGATCAATGGGGCGTGGGGCTTTTTTACAGGGCCTTCTGCAAGGTGCTACAACTCCAGCCTTGTCTAGAGGACAATCAACAGGTAATGCAACTTCTATTCCACAGAAAATGAGGCCATAAAAAAATGTTGAGTCACTCATTTTTATACGCCCGTCTTTAGATGGGCCGTATTATGGCATTCATGTCCATCCGCCTGTCTGACTGTTAGCTTTTCTCGTGTCTGGCTTATAACTTAAATACTGTTAGGCCTAGGATTATTAAACTTTGTCAGCTGATACTTCTTAGGTAGAAGGTGTGTTGGGCACTAAAAGTAGTTCGTTCTGACCTTTAATTAAGATGCTTTGGCCAAATATTGAAAAATCCTGTCCGGGTCATAACTAGAAAAATTTAGACTTAGAATCATCAAACTTGGCCAGTTAATGCATCTTAGGTAGAAGGTGTGTCGCAACCTATTTCAAGGTCACTGTGACTTTTTTTAAAGTTAAATTTACTATTGAAATTACACAGTCCCAAAAAATGTAAAAGTGTTGCAGTATCCTTATTAAAAAATGTTAAAATCAAGAAAATACTTCTTTTTTTTTCATTATATACTTTACAGCAATCCATAACAAATATAATGTTACAAGAGAAATTCCACCTCTCCCATGGGTGTAATTATCAAGCAATTCAAGGAGAATTTTGATAACAGAAAATTGCATGTCAAATTAGAGAGAAATTAATGAGTTTAGTGTGAGGAGCTAACTGGTAGAGCATCTCTGATCAAGCAGGTGTTATCTATAGGTATCACACCGGTAATTGTTTTCACTATGTAATTCTATATAGAATAAAAAATCATTAAAAATCAGGTATTCGAATTCATGAAAAAATATTTAGCAGGAAGTGTTAAACATTACCAGTCACATCAGCTGACACCAAAAAATAGGGTACCTACACGGCATTTTCTGATTTTTTCCATCCGCAAACAGGAATACCCTCAAAACCACGTGTATTCAATGTGTTTATAAACATCCTGTGTGCACCCCAGGAAGTGGCCTCCTATGCCCCGAAAGAAATAGTTCCTGTCAAAAACCTTTAATATTTTACAAAGTACATAAAATATCCTAAGCACAGATACCAAAAATGTAAAAATAGAATAAGGGAAATTAAAAAATTTCTCACAATAAAAAAAATATTTCTTTATTATGTATGGAACTACAATTGACTAAGTTCATTTTGATTGGTCAATTACCGGTGTGATACCTTGAAGGACCTTTGAAGTTGTCAGATTTTTTTCATTTTTGCACCTGAGATTTCTTAAATAACTGTCACTAACATCCTGAAGCCTGGGGATCTAATTCCCATTATTGCTGGAGATATGATGCATTTATCTCCCTTACTCCAGAGCAGTCAAGAATACACACTGAGCACTCTGACAGAAGTTTTTTGTGCATATTTTGAAGCAGAATTTCATCCTTAATAGACTAAGCCTGGCAACCAATTTTGTATCCGTGGAGAGTATATGCACTGTTCTTCACAACAAACAAAAAATAATTCACAAGTCTGAGACCATTATGCAATTATTACATAACAAAATTGCATTTTACCCTCCTAAGAATGACAGAATTTACAGAAATTGTTAAATATTAGGCTGATAATAAAATCTGCATCTGGTCAATTTATGTTCCAAATAAAGCCTAGGTACTTGTCTACAACCTGCTATGCAGAAGTTTATCTAAAAGCTGTGTTGTAACACAGGGCAGTCCAAATGATATCAGCATCTGGGGAGGTTCTGAACAGCTCTGACACTCCATTAAACTTGCTTTGATGATAAGAAAATGGAGAAAACAATTCAGATGTAATTTATTGTTGTGATTTATGTAACTGGCTTTCTCTGCAGACACAAATTAGCCGTGAAATTCCAATTGAACATGCATAATTATCCTCTTTTCATTGAATTACTCAGGAATTTCAAAGGTGTTTGATGATTAATTCAAGATTACAGCTTTTTGTTTCACCAAATTTACATAAAAATTCAACATTTAAATTTAAAAATATAAATCTTAAACATTTTTATGGGTCTTAACACTTTTAAATGTGAATAAATGCAACAAAGAAACTAATATCAGGCCATCCTCCATGATTCTTGGAGGTGGGTGGGTGTACAAAAACTGCTGATAAAATTTATAGGAAGTGACAAAAGAAGAACAGGGCACTTTATTAGCTGAATTATGGTTATTCTGATATTTTGATTGTGTAAATATGTCAAATTTCTTCATCACTTTAATTTGTAATTTATTAATATTTCAGTACATTAATGTGCTTAACAAATCATGCTAAAATAAACATCCTGACTGAGACTTAATTTAAAAGAGAGGGTCAACACCTACATAAAAGTGGTAAAATGACAAAAAACATTCTCCGGCAAACTGAAAAATCTTGAATGTCAGCTGCGAAAGCATGGAAAAAGTCTAGAGAACCATATCAGGCATACCATGGTGCTAAGTGACATTCTGTACCATATGTGTGATGCATGGTTGGGACTCAGAATAAGTATTCACTCTCATGCCCTGACAGTATTTATGCAATTTTGGTCATAAGCTTCTTATTTTTGAAAAATTCTTAATAAATTTTATTTGTGCATTACTTTCATAAGACAAATTTAACTCATTTCATTATTTCTATTCCTCCACTCCTGTAATAAATGAATCACTTAAGGTGAATAAAATGAAAGTAAACCCAGTCTCTGTAAGATTTAACACTTTTTAAAAACATGTTTTACTTCTTCACATTTTATCGCAGTTGTCACTTTTGTTGAAAACTCATTCGCAAACCCAGAATTAGTCTTTTCTTAAAAAAATCAGCCTAAAGTGCTTTTACGACAAAGTCTGTAGACACTATAATTGACTGCGGTCAGGTGGTGCACAGAGTTTAAAGTCATCTAAAATAAAAAAACCAACATTTTCTAACTTCTTTCTACATGTCAGATGCATAATCCTACTTTGAAAGTCATAATTTGGAGTTTTGAGGGTAAAACATGACATATTATTAGTATTTTACATAGAAATCTGTATAAATTAATGTCAACCCTGCTTCTAAATTTAAAAATATGTGCTTTCACACAGAAAGTTCATAAAATGACATATTTTGTTGAAATATGCCTTTATAAACTTAAAACTGCCTTTCATATGGGTGTAGATGATTTTACACAATCACCTTCAAGGTATCACACCGGTAATTGTTTTCACTATGTAATTCTATATAGAATAAAAAATCATTAAAAATCAGGTATTCGAATTCATGAAAAAATATTTAGCAGGAAGTGTTAAACGTTACCAGTCACATCAGCTGACACCAAAAAATAGGGTACCTACACAGCATTTTCTGATTTTTTCCATCCGCAAACAGGAATACCCTCAAAACCACGTGTATTCAATGTGTTTATAAACATCCTGTGTGCACCCCAGGAAGTGGCCTCCTATGCCCCGAAAGAAATAGTTCCTGTCAAAAACCTTTAATATTTTACAAAGTACATAAAATATCCTAAGCACAGATACCAAAAATGTAAAAATAGAATAAGGGAAATTAAAAAAATTTCTCACAATAAAAAAAATATTTCTTTATTATGTATGGAACTACAATTGACAAAGTTCATTTTGATTGGTCAATTACCGGTGTGATACCTTGAAATCTCTTGGGAATTGGGCAGAGGAATCAGCCATGTTGGATTAAATAGTTTTTGTGGGCTAGCCTAACTTTTAAAATGAATTTGGTGAAAAGTGATTTAAACTAATTTGATATTGTATAATAAACTAATTTTATATCGTATAATAAACTAATTAATTAAAACTAATTATACTGTGGGGGGGGGGGGGCTAATATTGGAATTAGCATGCCCCTTGTCCATATGAATTGCAGCTTGAAGCCAGTCTGACATCGAATCTTAAAAAACGAAAGAAAACATCAAGTATTTAAAAAAAAAGTTTTAATTATGGTAGATAGTCCCTACAAATCTAAGAGTCAAGCAGAAACCTTATTAATGTTGCATCAAGATTACAATTTTTTTTTCTTTTTATAAATCTTTGTTTTCAAATTTAATTTTAGAATGACATAAATATGCATTTTAATTGAACTACAAAGCAGATAGTGCAGATCCATTCATCCATTGGGAGTAATTAGTGGACATGCATCCAGTTAAAGATTAATTAATAAGTTCAGTGTAGGAAGGCTAGCTGTCTCAATCATTTCTGTTATGGCATCTCTGATCAAGCAGTTCTTATCTGTATCCTTTGGGAATTATACATAAGAACTGCTGGTCAGGCCACAATTAAAATATTGTTGGTTTGGCGTCGCCGACTTAGTCTTTATACGATTGGGTCGGGTCGGGTCGGTAGGTAGGGAAAATATTTTTTTTAATTTAAATTTCAGAAATGGTACATGTTGTTAGTATCCGAATGTCATGGGTTTCCAATAGTTTAACAACAACCACAGTCCGAATTGATTTTCAGTTTTGTCATTGATTTTCAAAACCTATTAGTTTTAAACCTTTAATACAATACCGTATATACTCGCCTATAAGTCGGTTTTTTGGGATTTAAATTTTGGTCCAAAACTCTGTGTCCGACTTATAGGAGAGTCATAAAAAATTGGCATTATTTTGAACGGCAACATGTAGTATTTTATAAACGTATCTGACGATTATTGTTGAAAAAAGTCTGGATATAGTATATCATTTTTGTATTCTAAGATTATGCATGAAGTACAAGTATTTACATATTTCAATAATTTAATTTTTATTTTAAGTGTGCATTACTTATTTTTTTTTCATTTCTAAAAAAAAAAAATTACTTAAACCAGGTAAAAACATCATTAAAACACTGATTTGAAATTGTCAGCCGGTTCTTGCAAAAAGTTGTACAGACTTATATGCGGGTCAATGGCAAATCCCTCCAAAATAAACTAAAAAATTACATCCGACTTATAGGCGGACCGACTTATATGCGAGTATCTATCTGCCCACACAGATTGCTACTCAAGGATCTGTAGGAACACCATTCAGTGTCATCTCAGGGTGACCTTTCAATTATCCAATCAAACGTTTGCTTCAATGAATTTAGAAGTATCTCGGAATTCAGTTACAGAAGTAAAATCCCCACTGATACACGAACGGTAAATCGTGACCTGGTTTCTGTAGTCTGTCAAAAAAAAAACAACCACAGCCTTTTCTGTATACAGAAATATATTAAGTATTTGCTTTTGCCTTGATTTTTAGCTCTTTGTTATGTAAGATCTTCTCCACAGCTTCTTTCACTTCTACATTCATTTTCCTGAATGTCGCATAAGTACCATCTCTGATTAGTCAAAATTTTAATGAACATTTTTATTAGAAAGGTCGCCAGGAGATGACCCTGAATGAGGTTTCTTCAGATCCTTTTGTAGTGATCTATGTGAGCGGATCAGAGGATCTGATTTTAATCAGATTGTGTTGCATCCTACTTAAAGGTCACTGTGATCTTATATTAAGGTGAAATTTAAGAAAAATATGTTTTTAAGTTACACCATAGCAGTAACTGTATTAAAAATTGTTAAATGAAGAAAATGCCTTTTTTTCATGGTTAGGTACACAGTATTATATAAAAAATATAATACTTCTATTGTGTCAGTAGCAAGAGAAATTCCACTTGTCTCAAGGATGTAATTATCAAGCAATGGTGTTTCAAGGAGCATTTTGATAAGTCTGTCGAATTAGAGATTAATTGATGATTTTAGTGTAAGAATATTTCTGATCTCTATATCTCTTAGGAACTGGACAGAAAAATCTGGCATCTTAATTGCAGTTGATAGTATCTGTCAAATTAAATAGTACTTATTCAATATTGGCTAGTCATTCAAAATTCCTTATTAAAATTAATTTAATATTGTACAATATAGTGTTTCAATTTTAATCTTATATCTCAAAAACAAATTTTAGAGTGTCATGTCTCATTAAGATGACAGTTTTATAGTCTAAAAACAAAAATAATGATTAGTCACTGTGTTTTGATGTTTTATTAGGTTGTAGCATTGTTCATTATTCATAAAAAATACAATTAACAGAACTGCAGATGGCCATTTGTAAAACTCTTAACACAACCAGTTAAGGAATATTTGATGTATTATTCATTCTAATTAATTACTACAGCACAGGAGAGGCACTTTTATTAAACATTAGGTTAGAAAAATTATTAAAATCTTTGTATCAAGGTTGACTTGACTTTTTCCTTGCACTCTAATCTGTTTATGAGGATTGAACAATATGTAAGGGGCATATCATGTGCTGTGGTGGTGCACTTTATTTTCATTATAACCTTGACATTTCCAAGGTATTCAAGGTCAATTACCTTAAAGGCTTCAAATTGTATAAATGTTTTTGCTAAATGCTTTATGCTTAATAGAGACATTTTTTTGATATCAGAAACCTTTAAATACCAACAATTAAGCATTTATTTACATTCAGTTTTTAAAAAAATTCTTCTTTCTGACATAAAACCTTTTTTCTCTTTAGCACAACAACCTACTCTTCCTGCTTCCGGGGGTAGAGGAGTTGCAAATCTTCAAGCTCTAATAAAGTAAGTTGAGAAAGCAGAGGTATGTATGTTTAAATTACAGATTTAGTTAACATGTTTTAAAAATCCAGGGTCTAGAATTACATTTTTCCATAGCCCGGAATGTGGAAAATTGTCTTGGAAAGTAAGTTATTGTGCCAAACTAACCTGCCTGTGAAAGTAAGAAAACATAGGAAAAAAACCTTAATATCTTACTTGTAACAAAACATGAATAAAAATCTTAGCAAAAAATGATCAACTACTTCAGCAACTTGAATCTACGTATTAAACAGAGAAATGATCATTTATAAACACCATTTCACTACCGGAAATAGGATTGGAAAAATAAAAACTAACCTGATCAACGCTCATAATTCTGGATTGTGAAATGTTTCTTAGTAAAAATATACATGTGAAAAAAATCCTTTTCTCTGTTTTGATGAAAACATTTTACCTTGAAAAATTAAACAAACAAATATGTAACGATTTTTAACTCTATTGGTTAGAGACTAGAAGAGCTGATACAATAGTAAGATGTCCATTGTCTGTCTCTAAACAGGTTTTCAAAACTGCTCCTCATACAGTTTTAAGTTCCAATTTCAATAAGACTTGTTACACAAGTACACTGTACTAAGATTACATAATTTTTTTTTTTTTTTTTTTTTGATTTCAGCAATGATGCCAGGCCAGTAAAATGCTATTTGTCTTGTTTTATTTTCTTGTATAAGTGAATTTTTGAGTTGGGCAAGTAAAATTTCCAGTGAGCAAATTGCTCATTCTAGACCCCAATCACTAATCTGTGTCTGAGATTTTTTCCCCCTGTGACTGCCCTATAAAGTTCAAAATTCAGCATTCAAGTATATTTTCAAGACATGTTTTTTTTTTGTATAGACTGAGAAAAGTGACCTGTCACATGAAAATGTATTAACTTGGATGATTAAAATTCAGACGATACAGTATTGAAAGATAGCTCCAAATGAATTTGGATTAACCATGGCTCACAAAGGGAATTTTCTGTTTCAATCAGTCTAAAATCTACTATGCAGGGCTTATTAACCTTTTCATCTAGGTCCGATAAAAGAACCCTGTCCCAATTGAAAATTTGTTCTTTTTCCCAAAATTTAGGTAAAAATTCCCAAATGACAAGCAAATTGAACATTTCAGTGCTTTTTATATTTAAAAAAAACTTGAATTTTGAGATTTTGGTGATTCTGAAAATGTGAATAGGGAATAGGCCTTCAATTTTACTCTTTATTCAACATTAAAACTTAATATTAGACATCAATATTTCCAAATTTTGCCACTTGTTCAATTTAAAATCCCCATTTGAAAGGGTACAAGACCCTGTACCAGAAAGAGTCAATTAAGCCCAGTACTTCTCATACAGTTTTGGTTTCATTTCAATAAATCATAGAACAAGTTCAGAAAACATCAAGATACTTAATTCTGGAAATGTATAATTAACAAGCTAATTCAGAGAACTTATGTTACAAGCATTCTTTAGAAACTTTAAGAGTAACCCAATAGAGCTATGGTTTTGTGAGAACGTTTGAGTGTATTATGTGTACGTCACATTACATCTTTTTTTTTATTTCCACCAGAAATGCTGGAAGAGGAGGGGGCATAACAGGACCTTCACCAGCACCACAGATGCCACAAGTTAAACCACCCCCACAGCCTCCAGTCAGTACCTCTCAGGAGTCCACACCTACTCCCTCAGTCACATCTCAGTCAGGAGTGGCACCAAGCAAAGGTTCTTCAGATCCTCCTAGTAGCAGACTCAGCAAGATGGCTCTGGATCGCCCACCTGTTGTACATAAATCAGGCACTGCAGGCAAACCGTATGTTGATAGAAATAAATTTATCTCACTCTGAAGTATAAAGGGGTTTTGATAATGTCATTTATTAAATGGTCAATGAAAAAATACATGTATATAGGTTTTTAGCTCTGCTGGTCAGAGACCAGAGATTTCATTAAAATTCTTTCAAAACGCTGCCTCTCCTACAGTTTTGGTCCAATTTCAATAAGACTTAGTACACAAGTACACTATACTAAGGTACATAATTCCATTTATTATACCCACAATCTGAAGGAGAGGGGGGTATACTGTTTTACCCTTGTGTGTCTGTCAGTCTGTAACAATTTTTGTCACAGTTTTCTCAGTAACTACTCATTGCAGATGCTTGAAATTTTAGCACAGTCTTTGTTTATGCATACCATATGGTGGGATTCATTTCTGTTTGAATCCAATGTTAACTTCTTTTTTATCCTTGTGTTTGTCCGTACCAAATTTCCGTTGCAGTTTTCTAGGCAACTACTCATCGCAGATGCTTGAAATTTTAGCAGTCTTTGTTTAGGCACAGGGTTCTCCACATCTGAAAATTTAACCAATGAGGAAGCTGCACGAAAGTGAATTGCGATTGAAAGCAGAAAGGAATGTTTGAGCCCATCTAGATTTCAAAATCAATGGTTGATTCACAGATTAATTTATTTACCATGGCAACAACAGAAGTTAAAATAAAAAAAAGCAGAATAAGTTTATTAAAATTGGACCAACAGAATGGAAGATGAACATTTTGATAGAAGTTATTCACAGAACGATTTTTTTGACCACTGTAACAATGATCAACAACCATTTACAGAATAAATATTGCTCTTTTTACAAGTTTTATTGAAATCAGACCAAAATTTTTGCAGTAGTATTTTTAGCTCACCTGAGCCAAAGGCTCAAGTGAGCTTTTCTGATTGAAATTTGTCTGTCGTCATAGTCGTCGTCGTCGTAAACTTTTCACATTTTCATCTTCTTCTCAAGAACCACTGGGCCATTTCAACCAAACTTGCCACAAAGTATCCTTGGGTAAAGGGGAATCAAGATTGTTCAAATGAAGGGCCACGCCTTCTTCCAAGGGGAGATAATTATGAATTCATGAAAAATTAATGGCATCATTTAAAAATCTTCTTCTCATTAACCACTGTGCTTGAAATCATGGAACTTATATGGAAGCATCCTCAGGTAGTGTAGATTCAAATTTGTTCAAATTATGACCCCCGGGGGTAGGGTGGGGCCACAATGGGGGATCAGAGTTTTAAATAGGAATACATAGGAAAAATCTTTAAAAATCTTCTTCTCAAGAACAGCAAAGCCATTATGGGTCTTATTTATATGGAAGCATCCTCAGATAGTGTAGATTCAAGTTTGTTCCAGTCATGACCCCCGGGTGAAGGGTGGGGCCACAATGGGTGATCAAAGTTTTACATAGGAATATAAAGGGAACATCTTTAAAAATCTTCTTCTCAAGAACAGCAAAGCCATTAGTCATATTAAAATGGAAGCATCATCAGGTAATGTAGATTCAAATTTGTACAAATCATGACCCCCAGGGGTAGGGTGGGGCCACAATGGGTGATCAAAGTTTTACATAGGAATATAAAGGGAACATCTTTAAAAATCTTCTTCTCAAGAACAGCAAAGCCATTAGTCATATTTAAATGGAAGCATTATCAGGTAATGTAGATTCAAATTTGTACAAATCATGATCCCCTGGAGAATAGAGGGGCCTTAACAGGGGATCATACAAAGGAATATAAAGGATATATCAATCAAAATTTTCTTAAGAACAGCAAAGCAATTATTTGTCATATTAATTCAAAAGCATCCCTATGAAGTTAAGATTCAAGTAAGTTAAATACCCCCCCCCCCCATCTCCACCCCCAAACCAGTTTTATATTTAAACTTTTCAAGACTGAACTGATTTCTGCTTTTTCCTAGCCAGAGTGCTCAGGTGAGCAATGTGGCCCCTGGGCCTCTGTTAATTTTTTTTAATGCAGACACAAATACACGAACAATTGACATCTTATTATGGTATAACTTTGAAAACTTACTTATGATAATATATTTATCATGACTAATATAACCAGAGACATAATTCTGCTTTAAGTCGCTATCCTATGTTTACTTCTCCACATGCTCCGGTGCTAAAAATGTAGAAGACTTTATATACAAATTGGAGGTAACTCTAAAACATTGATGAACATGCAAAGACGTATTAAAAGAACAAAAAAAAAAAGAAAGAAATTTAAAAAAAAAAAAAAAAAAACAGAAATGGGAGGGACATTTTAAGGGAAGAAGAGAATTATACATTTCCTTTGGTCATACGTCATGGCCTGCTGAACTTATCTGAAACTGGTCATTACGAGACGTCATTACTGCACACCGAATCTTTATTTTTTGTAAACTATTTATGACAAATTTACATGTACAGAGAATTTAATCCTTATAAGGAGATCATCTACTCCTAAATTGATCATCAGTTGATTGTCCACACTGAATCGTCATGCTTCACGGCGTGTTTCGGGCTGTTGTGGAATGTGATACGGAAAAGGGTACATGTTTTTTTTTCTCTGTGTACGTTTATGTGAATCAGAACTCACTCTGGCTCAGAATCTTACGTCACAATTCCCAGTAAATTGATGAGTTCTTGCATGTACATGGTATACATTTATGCCAAGATGCAATGTAGTACTATATTGTGATGTTTCCTTGTTTTTCTCTTCAACTTGTGATTTAGTTGTGTTTTCTATTTTGCAGAATGAGTTTATCAGGAAATTACATCAGGATCAAATGTGAGAATGCAGGAGTGTATCAGTACCATGTATCTTTTTCTCCAAGCATTGACTCTAAGAATATGAGATTTAAACTAGTGAACAATGTTCGGGATGTCATTGGGTTCACTAAAGCATTTGATGGATTCATTCTGTATTTGCCACATCGCCTCTCAGATCAGGTGAGTTGGCAGTTGCATAAACTGAGGACACGTTTTAACAAGAATTAAAAATTTCAGGCAATTCTTAGACAGTTGAGACGTGTGAAATATGTCATAGAATTTGGTGTTTAGGGAAAAAAATGTGCATTTGTTTTTAAGGGAGTATTACTTTTGCCAGTCTAGTTCTCAGTCAATTTTGGGAAATTTTCTGTTTCTAGGAGACAGTGCTGCAGAGTAAGCGGCCAACTGATGGCGTTGATATAACTATAACCATTAGATTAACAAAAGTGATATTGCCAGAGCAGTGTGTTCCTCTGTATAATATCATATTTAGAAGGTTTGTTATTTTTGGAACATGTCTTAATTTGATCTACAGATTCTACAAATTCAACAAATTAAGCTAATTAAGCTAATTCGAAAGTAAATCCTTTGGAAAATGAATTACTTGCTTAATGAATATGTTTTGTAAATATATATATACAGGGTATCCTGAAAAGAAAAATAAGTGACAAGTTGTAGTAAACTTTTTCATTGATTTTTTTTAATCTTGTAAAGCATATTTTTTTTTCTTCTTTCAGAGTGATGAACATTCTTGAAATGGTTCAAGTTGGTCGTTATTACTACAACCCCAAAACGCCATCTGTTGTTCCACAACACAGGTAGCTTATTATTGACCTGTCAAAATGTTCTCTCAGATCTTCAGGAAAGAAATGTAGAGTTGTTTAATTATGCAGTGGAAGATCTTTGTTTGTGCAGAGAATGTTTTGAACCAATCATGTTCATGTATTTGTACATTGTGTTTTCAGAAAGTCAATTTTGTTTTTATGCCTTGCCATGAACATGATGAATATGACTGGGTTATATAGTGTTTGTCATGTTTGTCTTCCATCCTTCCAACCCTCCATCTATCCATTTGTCACACATTGCGTTTAGCACAGTTTCAAAGCAACTATTCAAGATAACTATGTAAACTTGTACAATGATACATATTGGTGAGAAGAATTCAACTGTGTCCTTTTTAACCTTGACCTTACCTACATGTATGACTGATCTTACTATATTATTTTGCATTTGGCTCAGTTTCAAACTATTCAAGATATTTTCATCAAACTTCATACACTAATGCAAAGTGGTGAGAGCTATTGAACTGTATCATAATATTTATAACCTAAACCTTCCCTGTGAGATGACCTCACTATTCCTCATTTACCCTTATGTTAGATCGAAAGAAGCAAGGTACATTTCGTTTCATGTTGCATTACTAATGCACCCTGGGTGGGGAATACATGTCCTATGGACATATTTCTAGTTTTTATGATGATTTAAATGTATTCATTGTAGGCTGGAAGTCTGGCCAGGGTATATCACATCTGTGTGCGAAAATGAAGATGGTCTCATGCTCCTAGTAGATGCTAGTCACAGAGTTTTAAGAACAGAAACTGTACTCCAGTTGATGTAAGATCTGTACAGATTTGCAAAAGTGTAAAGGAGTAATGAATGTGATGAAGTGACATATTACTAAAGTGAAAATATTCATATGTGTGTACCTATGTATTATTTACAGGAAAACCTGTGTGCAGAAAAATCCTAATGGCTTTCAGGATGAGTGCACACGGTCTTTAGTAGGAACAATAGTCCTCACACGTTACAATAACAAAACTTATCGCATTGATGACATTTTGTGGTCAAAAACTCCACTCCACACCTTCAAGACAAGCCAAGGATCAGAGCTCTCCTTTGTAGATTACTACAGGTAATACATATTGTGTCCTAGTACTTTTGTAGACTGCAAAATTGCAAGTAAAAATTATTTCTGGTTTTGAACTCATACATGTATTTCAGGCATAGTCTAGCATTCTTCATTTTGGATTAGGTTTAAAATTTGTAATAAATGTTTGTAAAATTCCATTCAGACATTTCTAGCACACTTTAGATAAAGTTGGGAAGGGCTTTTTGTTCTGTGATTGGATTCACTATATGTGACCCAAATTAAAGTTACTCTCTTACATGGGGTCTAGAGACAATCTAACTTGGTATAGTATGATAAAGGAGTTTTGTGAGAATTTAAACCAAAAAAACTGGTATACAGTCCAACCTCATTATCTTGAACTCGATGGGACCAAGAAAAAACAGAGATATTGGAGGATTAGAAATATTGAGGGTAAAATACATGTACTGAAAGAATAAGCTGTTGGAACTTCAAAATCACTTCGACATAGCCATGGTGTTTGAGATATCAGTGTGCGAGATACCAAAGTTCAACTGTATAGTAAAGTATAGTAGTGGAGAAGGGATGCACAACCTTTACCTCTACTGGTCAGAGACCAGAAGAGCTAATGCGAAAGCAAGGTGTCATACAATTTTACTAGTGTTGTCAACGAGTACCCGGTTAACCGGTTAATCGTCGAACGATGCAAGTATCGGTTAGTAAAACTGCTACCCGGTCACTCGGATATATTGAATTACTAGGAATAATGTATTTTTACTTAAAATGTCCCCATTTTATTTACCATTATTTAACGTTATCTAGTCTAGTAAGACCTAGCGTTTTACAAATGCGATTCATTTTTTTAAATTAGTATTTCACAGTTTATGTAATTGATGGCTTTGATTGCCTAGTGGTATACAAGTTTTGAGGACTTGATTTAATTATAATTACCTCCCATACACCTGTGCTAGTCCGCAGTACAAGATCAAAGAAGATGCCGCCACATGCATCGTAAGCATGGAAATATTTTTAGAACAATTGCTGAATATAAATCCGTGAGGTGTTAATTATGTGAAATGGAATTAACATACATTGATTTGATAATTTTAGAATACGCTTAACCATCTCAGACTGATGTTTAACTTTGAAACATCGATATATAAAACGCAAAACAGCCAATGATTACGGGGTGTTTGAGATTTAATTTATTTAGTAGATGTTTTTTGTTTGTAATTATAAATAAAGTTCATTTGCAGTGCATTTTGTTTTGTATATACTGATATACAAATGATGAGATAAAAGTAGAAATTGTAACAACTTTATATACAATATGCATATACCGCAAACAAGAATGTTTTGATATCTCAAGAAAAATCATCTGAGTAACCGGTTACTCAATCGGAAAAGTAAGCGAGTAACCGGTTACTAAAAATCGTCCGATTTGACAACACTAAATTTTACTGTTAGAGTCACTGTAACCTTTAATTAAGATATGACGAAATATGGTAAAACCCTGTCAGGCTCATAACTGGAAAATTATTTAAGATATCATTTGTTGAAGTGAGCTTTGGTAATAGATATACCAATATTTTTGTCTTCTAGGAATGCTTATCATAAGGAGATTACCGATCAAGAACAACCTCTACTGCTGCATAGACCAAAAAAGAAACAATTGCCTGGAGTAAGTAAACTAATAAGATAATTAAACCCATATAATAAGATAATTAAACCAATTTTCACTTTAAAGTTTTTTGGGGGGGGGGGGGGGGGCTTGGCTTTCTATCATGTTTGAATGAAGAGAAATGGATTTGCTTCTCTGAAATAAGTTTACTTCTAAGACTAATATTGTAGGCAAATTCTATGAATTTATCATGATATAATAAATCAAAGTTTACTTGAAGACTAATGTTTTTGGCATAACTTTACCATTAAAATTAATTGTACATTACACTCTATATAAAAGATTTGATAGCATTGATAGCAGGCATAAGTACAATATAATCAACAGATATAGTAGAAAATTCTTATCACACATAATTGTTTACCTTTATAGGGGAAAGTTCCTGAAAAAAGTGAAGCAATTTGCCTTATACCAGAGTTTTGCTATTTGACTGGGCTTACTGATGAACTGAGGCAAGACTTCAGGGTAATGAAGGTATGCTGACTCTCGGATTATCTAGTCTTGATGCATTTATAGTTCAAAGGTTCAGTGTTTAGAGTGATGGTTCTGTTAAATAGTTAAATGTCAATTTCCTGTAGGATCTTGCATCCCACACCAGAGTTACACCAGAACAAAGAGTGGCCACTATGAGGAAATTTATTAATGCTGTCAATAGCAACCCAGAGGCCAAAAAAGAACTGACAAACTGGGGGCTGAGCTTTGCTGAAAATACAATAAATGTAAGTGTCATGGAGGTAGTGCATACATATATGATGTCAAAAAATGAATTTAACATTTCAATGACCTTGAATGAAAAAAAGTGGATTTTACAGCAATAATTTAATTAGAAAATATTGACACAGGTCTGCTCTGACTTAATCTTTTCATATAATATGTAGAAGGATAATATGATTGAAATATGTGGTAGTAGTTCCTAAGCAAGTTTGCACTCTATAAAAACTAAAGACAAAATTTGAATGTTTTCCCCTCTTTTTAATAAAATAACGGGAAATCTCGGTAGTTTGTGATGTCACAGAGACATAATGCCATTTTTTTTTTCCAATCAATAATACATGTAGATTTTATTAATCCAGATTTCTTCTTACAATTTATAAAATTGTGCATATGTCTCAAGATTTTCGATATGTAATTTTATGGGGGCAGGAATATGCCTGTACAGTATATAGTTCTTTTGATTGAGCATTGTGAAGGAGTAAGGTATTGTACCTTTGTTGTCCTGTTTAAGTGCTTCATATAACAGGAAATAATTTATTGGTATCTACTTTTATTTGATTGGTTTTAACCAGTGATATGTGTTACATTAAAATGACTGCATTTAAAACAAAGTAAAACTATAAAGCAAGTCCATAGCAAAAATTGCTAAAAATTGAATGCGCACTTTGGCACTGCCAATTGTTGATTTAAAACGCCATTTTTCACTTCAGTGCGACATGGCACATTTTGCAAGCCCTTCCCAATCACTATGAAGGGAGACGTATATTAAACAAATATTTCTCAATTTGATTTTGTTTTACAGATTGATGGTAGACAAGCTCAGCAAGAGAAGATCATCTTTGGTAACAATTACACGTGTATGGCAGGACCCCAGGCTGACTGGAGCAGAGATGCTACCCGCAACAAGGTCCTCACTCCTGTTGACCTGAAGAACTGGACTGTGATATTTGTTAAGCGTGATGCAGGCAAGGCCACAGAATTTATAAACATGATGCAGAATTGCTGCCGGCAGATGGGCATTCAGTGTAATAAGCCTACATGCTGTGAGCTTCGTGATGATCGTGTGGACACTTTGAGTGGGAGCCTTAGAGATAACATCAATCCATCGGTACTCTATGCTGCAAAAAAAAAAATCAAAGATAAATATTGGTTTCTTAACTTTTGTGCTTTTTAATTACCTTTATATTTTACTGATGGGGAAAAAGATTAGGCAAAGATATGAGTTTTTTGACTTATTTTAAAGGTCCAGTGTATGGTGGTTATTTGTCCAACATCCAGAGATGATAAATACTCCGCCATCAAGAAAATATGCTGTGTTGAAATGCCAGTCCCATCTCAGGTACTTAATGTTTTTTACATCATTTTGTTTAAGCAAAGTTAGTGCCCCGTCATGAATATGGCTGGGTATATAGTGTCTGTCTTGCATCCTTCAATCTGTCTGTCCATCACAAAGTTTCAAAGAAAATGTTCAAGATACTTACATCAAACTTCATACTAAGATACAATTTGGTGAGAACTATTCAACTGTGGTAAAAGTTTCTGACCTTGATTCTCCCTATGACCTCAACCTCACTATCCCTAATTTTGCATTAAAATAATTTTCAAAGAAACTATTTGAGGTATTTTTATCAAAACTTATACACTGATGCATATTGGTGAGAATTTTAAACTGTATCATAATTCTCTGACCTTTACCTTCCCTATGACCCTGACCTTACCATACCTCATTTTGTATTTACCTTAGTTTCAGAGAAACAATTTAAGATATCAGAATTTGAAACTTGAGAAATTTTATTAGTCATTTGGTTTGCAACTTTCACATTTTTGAGGATCATTTTCGATTTCTGTCGGACATAAAAACAAAGAGACCAGTCAAACCTCATTATCTCCAACTTGAATGGAACTTGAATGGGCCAAAAAAAAACTTCAAGATAGATATCCAAGGATTTGAAATATCGAGGGTAAATTTCTTACAGAATAAGGGGTTTGGACCTTTAAATATAAAAATTCCATAGGTTGTTTATTTTTTTATTAAGTTGCAATATTTTATTTTTTTCTGTTATCTGTTGTTTGATTTGTTATTTTGAATGTATACCAACATAGTTATATACAGCTAAACTTCTAAATCTCAAACACGGATATCTCGAATACCCGGGATATGTCGAAGTAAGGCCGCGGTCTCGAAGAAATTTGATTTATAAATGATTAAAATAAACCCCTCTTTGTCGAACACGGTAATGTCGAACACTCCGGTTATCTCGAAGTAAAATTGTGTCCCCATTCATTAAAATCACATGCGTTATCTCGAAGTCAGGATAATTTTCCGCTCTGATTATCAAGTCCGTTAGGTAAACTGAATGCTCTATTGATAACACCCACCTGTCTGTCACGCTCGGGTTACCTGTGTTCCTGTGATCAACAAATAATAGCGCGATAATTATACAAAGTGTATGTATGGCTTACCTTGATTTTAATTATGCAAGCCAAAGGTTGTGTGTATTAGTCTTATGCATACATGTGGATGAAACGTTGTTTTGTGGCTTGGGTATGTTTATCTTGATAATCGCTATTTAATGCTATGTGAAATATGCGCGCATACAGAATTTATTTTTCCTATATGAGCGTGCAGAATTTACAATCGTCTATACACACCATCATGTGAGCGTGTGTCGCAGTGAAAACTTAAGCTATAGTGTCCTGTGGTTCAGTGTTGTTCTATTGTTAGACAAAAGTGTGTGATTTTTCTTTTGCATTTGATTTTATTATGGTAAAATAATTTCTTTTAACTGACTATACATATATGAACATGGTTTTCTAATAATAGAAAATGTATATTTCGTTTTCTTTATTCTGACAGCGACCGGTTTTAAATTTACAATGCATAGACGATATCCGGTTATGTATACATGGGAAACGATGCTAGAGGTTGACTTGCCGCGTTGGTAGAAAGATTATACTTCTGTGCATATTATACAATGTTTTTATTTTGTGAATTATAAAGAGGATGTAAAAATCTTTTTATTGCTAAATACATGTACATGTATATTAAAGAAATCGCATACAGAATTTCAAACAAGAAGGAATTTGACATGTTTTTACTATTACGTACATGTTCACTGCACTAAGTTTATTTGAAGTTCATTTGAATTATAACCCTCGATATGTCGAACCCCCGGATATCTCGAAGTTCATCAACGGTCCCGCCAACTTCGAGATAACAAAGTTTAACTGTAGTAGATTAAATTGTATTGTATATCATATTAAAAATGTGCCAAGTTTTTCAAATCATTTATTGAAATCAGTGCCATGTGTTGTAAGACTACGGCATCCTAACTTCCAGACCAGACACGCCTTAAACATATGACACCCTCTCTTGCATGTAATAAAGCACTCAGTCAATTGCTTGTATGAACTATGTGCCATGTTTCCAATAATTTTTATTACAGTAATATATTACCTGTTTTGTATTCAAGAAGAACTGAAGTGAAATTTGTAGGTCTTTAAGATGAGACCTTATAAACAGAGGCCCCATGTTACAGGAATCGAAAACAAAATGCAACTGTACTAAGTGATGGAAATACATGTATATGAAAATTATCCCTTCATATCTTCCATTATAGTACAATTGATTCAGACAATGCTTTTTTCATGTTGCATTACAAATGTTCCTTGGATGGGGCATTCATGTCCCATGGACATATTTCTAAATCTTAATAACCTGTCTGTTGTAAACCAGAATTCAAACATTTACGTGTATATGTATCATTCTTGTATCTTTTATGTTGAAAGGTTATCATAGCTAAGACAATTGCTAAACCAGACAAGTTGAGGAGTGTTACACAGAAAATTGCACTACAAATAAACTGCAAGCTTGGAGGAGAGCTGTGGGGATTAGATATTCCAATGGTAATATTAAGTTTATGAAAGTTTTCATTTTTTTTCTGCACAGGTGAATGCTTTCCTCTGATATCTAAAATATATTACATATTTTTTTGAATTCAACAAGGCACAGTAAAACACACTTATAGCGAATATGCTTTCAATGAATCTATGCTTATAGCGAAGTAATTTTCAAAATTAATAGGTATAATGAATTACATTTTGAACAAAGCACCATAAGCGTGTTTCAATGTCTTCTTTTTTTTTTTTTTCAAATAGTCCAATCTGATGGTAGTTGGAATAGATGTTTACCATGATAAAGCACACAATAAGAGATCAATAGCCGGGTTTGTAGCCAGCACTAACAAAATGTGCAGTCGCTGGTACTCTAAGACAGTACTCCAGATGCCTGGTCAGGAGCTCATTGATGGACTCAAGCTTTGTTTGACTTCATCCATCAGGAAGTATCATGAGGTATTAGCTAGTTATTAAAATGTCAAGGGTCTGACAGGATTTAGCAAGTTAACTGACCCCTGAATGTCACCCCTTATCTTGGTGACAATAAAACACAATAAAACTGAAACAAAAGCATATGGAAAATATTTAATTCATTGCTGACGAAAGATTGAGTGGTATAGACAGTCATTTAAACTTTGTTGGAATTTTTTTTGAATGAAAATGCTTAAAGTTTTAGCTAGTATAGCATAAATTCATTATTTTAATTACCAATTGGATAGAAACTTTTCTTAGCTACTACCTGGTACTTCTTACAAGAAGAGCATAAACTTGTAATATCTCAAATAATTTGGTGATCAACATCCCAGACAGAAACAAAATTGTTTTGTGGAGGAAATAATTGAAAATTTTTTACAGATATGTCTCCATTAAGATTACATTTTCACAATGCACTTCCTTTGCAGTTCACAGATTCTTCTTGCATTTTTAGGTCACCTGAGCCAAAGGCTTTATGGCTAAATTTTTTCAAAACAGTTGTCATTAATTTGAATACTGAGAGGTTTAGAATCATTAAATCTTGTAAGATGATGCATCTTGGGGCCATAAAACATATTTATTAAAAAGTAGGTCACTGTGACCTACTTTTTGTACTTAACAGGCATTCGATTTCAAAGCATTTAAGAGGCATAATTTGGACATTTTAGGGCCTATGATCATAAAACTTTGTAAGTTGATGCATCTTGGGTCCTCAAAAAAGGTCAACTGAAAAGTAAGTTCCTGTGACCTACTTTTGAGTTTATATGACTATAATTAAATATTTCAGGTACTGATTGGCTTAGAATCATCAAACTTTGTCAGTTGATGCATCTTGGGTCCTCAAAAAAGGTCAACTGAAAAGTAGGTCCCCGTAGCCTACTTTTGAAAATTTATGGCTTTAATTAAATATTTTGGGTACTAATTGGCTTGGAATCATCAAACTTTGTCAGTTGATGCATCTTGGGTCTTCGGAGTAGGTCGACTAAGAAGTAGTTCACTGTGACCTACTTTTGAAAATTTATGGCTTTAATTAAATATTTTGGGTCTAATTGGCTTAGAATCATCAAACTTTGTCAGTCGATTTATCTTGGGTCCTCAGAGTGGAACAACTGAAAAGTAGGTCACTGTGACCTACTTTTGAAAATTTATGGCTTTAATTAAATATTTTGGGTACTAATTGGCTTAGAATCATCCAATTTTGTCAGTTGATGCATCTTGGGTCCTTGGAGTACAACAACTGAAAAGTAGGTCACCGTGACCTACTTATAAAATTTTATGGTTATAATTTTAAAAAATATTTTAGGTATTAATTGGCTTAGAATCATCAAACTTAGTTGATGGGTCCTCAGAGAATGACAAGTGATAAGTAGGTCACCATGACCAACTCTCAGGTATTAATTGGCTTAGAATCATCTTGGGTTCTCAGAGTGTGAATTGGAATTTCAAGCGTTTATCTAAACATACAGGATACTTCGAGGCTTCAAATAGAAGTGATAGGTTGTACAGTTTATCAGAAGAGCAATTCAAGGCCCTTGGGCCTCTTATAAATTCATTGATTAACATAAAATGAGGTTTTCTTCATTTGTTCATATTGATCCCATTGTTGAAAACAGTTTCTATTTATTATACCCCCGTTCCGAAGGAGAGGGGATATACTGTTTTACCTTGTGTGTCTGTCTGTCCATCTGTCTAGCTGTGTGTCTGTCCATAACTAATTTTGGTCGCAGTTTTCTCGGCAACTATTCATTGCAGATGGATGAAATTTAAGCACACTCTTTGTTTAAGCATGTCATATGGTGGGATTCATTTTTGTAGAAATCTGTTGTCAACTTCCTGTTGATCTGTGCATCTGTCTGTAGCATACATAACAAATTTGGGTGGCAGTTTTCTAAGCAACTACTCATCACAGATGCTTGAGAACTACTCATCACAGATGCTTGAGATTTTGGCACACCCTTTGTTTAGGCATGCCATATGGTGGGAATCATTTTTGTACAAATTTGGTGTCAACTTCCTGTTTATCTGTGCATCTGTCTGTATCGAGCATAACAAATTTGGGTGGCAGTTTTCTCACTGACTACTCATCGCAGATGCTTGAAATTTTAACATTCTCTTTGTTTAGACATGCCATTTGTTGGGATTCATTTTTGTACAAATCGGATGTCAATTTCCTGATTATCAGTGTGTCTGTCCATAACTAAACTTGTGTATTCACATCAGAGTTGGGGTATTATTAGTGAGCATTGGCTCACAGACTTCTTGTTAAATTTTTTAAATATAGCTGAACTTCACTCCAGAGTGTATTTGGATATTCCAGATTAACCATGTCTTCCCAGAGAAGATTGTTGTCTTCCGTGATGGTGTTGGGGATGGAGATCTGAAGTATATTGACCATGAGATTCAGCAGCTACAGCAGTGTTTTGGAAACTTTGGAGGAGAGTATACTCCCAAGCTTTCAGTGGTCATTGTACAGAAGAGGATTAATGCCAGGATTTTCCTGAAGGTATCAGCTCCATTTCAGTACTCAAGAAACTAATGCAGAAGTATACCCCTCCTGCAAGTATTCAGTTCTACATGTACATTTAGTATATAGAATTAGGATATGTCTGAAGTAAAATTGGATCAGTATAGAATTCATCATTTCTGTTACAGGGTGACAGGAACTTTGACAATCCACCACCTGGCACCATTGTTGATCACACAATAACTAGAAGAGATAAGTAAGAATTATTTTATATATTCTTCTTCTTTCTGTTGAACATAACGTGTGCACAGTATTTTGTAAAAGTGGTTCATAAGATTTCCCTTCTTTAGGCAAGAGTTTCTGATGGGCCATTGTACTCATAAACCTTTGGCTTATGATGACATTTAAAACTCTCAGAGTTGTTAATGTCAGGTGTGCTAATTTCAAATCTTACCCTATACCCATAGGTTGCATTGTTGACAAAATTTGTTTACAAATTGAAGTAATTGTTGAATATGCAACTAATGATAATTTGGTAGGATCCTGGGTTATCTGCAATGCAGACATCAGATCACATATCCATATTAAAGTAAAATGGCACCACTGCTATTAAAAGAATGATTTATATGTTATCATCATTGTTCATGTAAACTCTTAATTCCATAGACCTTTTAGTCAAGAAACATCCCAAACAGAGATTAGTACATGTATATTGTCATAGATCAGTAACTTTGAAATACACTCACTGATTTGTGGTATCAAATAAATTCAATCGCATCCTTACAAGTAAAAATCCTTAATTTTTTTAGTACAATTTATAATTTTTATCTCACCCAAGCTGAAAGCTCATGTGAGCCTTGCTGGTCACATTTTGTTGGGCGTCTGTCTATAAACTTTTCACATTTTCGACTTCTTTTCAACAACCACTGGGCCAATTTCCACCAGACTTACCACAAAGCATCCTTGTGTGAAGGGGATTCATGTTTGTTCAAATGAAGTGCCATATCCTCTTAATTAAGGATATCCAATCCTCAGGCAGGAAGGATAACTCTTAAATTTATTATTTTATTTTAAAAGTCTCAAAATGAAGATTGAAATTGATAACTTTTCGTGCAACAATTTTCATTTTATGCATCTTAATATGATTCAAGGTTCTTTGAAGTCTTAGAAATGGTCTTGTAAAAAGTTGACATTTGTATCCCACAAAAGAAAAAAAATGAATTCATTTTCAGAGAAATTGAATTTCCTTTAGTCTAGCATTAGTTGCGACTGCTTATTAGTATGGTATGAAATTAGATGTGATATGTGATGTCTAGCAATGATAGCACAAGCTTTTTACACTGTGTATTATACCACAATTGAAGTAAAAAGAGGAACTAAAATACTGTATAAGCATAAAAAAGATAAAGTTTTCTCCAAATGCCTGGACACCTATATTTTTCTATCCTAAATTATATTTGTTGATCAATTTTCAATTAGAAAATGCATAGCTGGTGTTTTATTCACATTTCCTGAAAATATATTTCAGATTAAGTTTGATAATTTTCCCTATATAATATGATTAACTATAATGATGAACTTTGAAGAAATTCCATGGGTAACTTCACATCATTATGTGAAATCAGAGACATTTTTGTGAGCATTTTCAATTACTTAAAAGCTGATTTTCAGAACCTGAGGATTGGACTACCTTAAGGGGGAGAAAACTAAGAATTAGTGAAAATTTTAATGACAGCTTTCAAAAATCTTCTTCTCAAGAAACACTGGTCTAGAAAGCATCAATACATAGTGTAGATTCTAATTTGTTTATATCATAACTCTCGAGTCATGGGGATGGAGCCGCAATAGGGAATATAATTAGGTCACCTGAGTCACTCAGGTGACCTATTGCTATCCGTTCTCGTCCGTCGTCGTGCGGTGTGCGTCGTGTGTTAACATTTGAACATTTTTAGCTTCTTCTCTGAAACCGCTTAACCAATTTCAACCAAATTTGGTATATAGCACCTATGGGTGAAGGGGAACAAAAATTATGAATTCCATGGTCCCTGCCCCCCTGGGGCCTGAGGGGTGGGGCTAAAACCACCAAAAATAATGCAATCTTTAAAAATCTTCTTCTTTACTCCTGGACATCAAGCAGTCAAACTGTTGGCATCATTGTAATAAGCATTGAGTCCTCTACCAAAATTGTGAAATTCATGGCCCCAGGGTCAGGGGTTCTGGTGCTAGGGTGGGGCTATATAGATCATATAGGGAAAGTGCATTATTTCTTTGAAAATCTTCTTCTCTGCTCCTGGGTATTAAATAAAGTAACTAAGTACATAGTTATGAAGAACAAGAGTGCCTCTTTCAAAATTGTGAAATTCATGGCCCCAGGATCAGGGGTTCTGGTGTTAGGGCGGGGCTCTATTGATTATATAGAGAAAATGCATTAATTCTTTGAAAATCTTCTTCTCTGCTCCTGGGTATTAAATAAATTTACTAAGTATATAGTTATGATGAGCAAGAGTGCCTCTTTCAAAATTGTGAATTTCATGGCCCCTGGGTCAGGGGTTCTGGTGTTAGGGCAGGGCTCTATTGAGTATATAGTGAAAATGTATTAATTCTTTGAAAATCTTCTTCTCTGCTCCTGGGTATTAAATAAAGTAACTTAGTACATATTTATGATGAGCAAGAGTGCCTCTTCCAAAATTGTGAATTTCATGGCCCCAGGGTCAGGGGTTCTGGTGTTAGGGCAGGGCTTTATTGATTATATACATTAGTTAAAATGCATTAATTCTTTGAAAATCTTCTTATCTGCTCCTGGGTATTAAATGAACTAATTTAGTACATAGTTATGATGAGCAAGAGTGCCTCTTCCAAAATTGTGAATTTCATGGCCCCAGGGTCAGGGGTTCTGGTGTTAGGGCGGGTCTCTATTGATTATATTGTTAAAATGCATTAATTCTTTGAAAATCTTCTTATCTGCTCCTGGTTATTAAATGAACTAATTTAGTACTTAGTTATGATGAGCAAGAGTGCCTCTTCCAAAATTGTGAATTTCATGGCCCCAGGGTCAGGGGTTCTGGTGTTAGGGCGGGGCTTTATTGATTAGATAGGGAATTGGCATGAATTCTTTCAAAATCTTGTGTGCGCCTGGGTATTTTTCAAACAAAGGAAGTGCATGGTTATGATAAGGAAGAATGCCTCATGGCCTTTGGGTCAGGGGTTCTGGTGAGGGGGAAAGAGCTCTATTGATTATATATAGTGAAAATGCATAATTTCTTTCAAAATATTTTTTCTACTACTGGTTATAAAGTAAAGAAACAAGTGTATAGTTATAATGAGAAAGGGTGCTTCTTCCAGAATTGTGAGTTCGTGGCCAATGGGTCAGATGTTCTGGGTAAGGATGGGGCTTTATTTATTTAATTTTATGGTGAAAATGCATTTCTTTGAAAATCTTCTATGCTTCTGGGGATGTTCAAGGCAAACAGAGTAAAAGTTTTAATATGCAAGGGTATTTTTACCAGATTTTTGAACACCTGGACCATTTAGTCAAGTGTTCTAGTCCTGGCCAGGGCTCTATTAACTTGTATTCTGCTGAGCAAAGTTATTCCCCTTTGCCATTCACCTTTGATAATTAATCAATGTAAATAATGTATTTGAAAGCTTAATAGAATAAGAGAATTATGCAAGATAATTTATTGTATAATGAAAATGTACTTTCATAGATTTAATGACTTGGAAAGTCAGATAGGCAGATAGATACTAGACCAATTATTTTGTTGATGCTAATCATACTATTTTTCTTGCTTTTGGGCAACAAAGCTTCATTTTTCAGTTTATGGATCCTCTAAATTGTTGTATTGTACTCAGGTGACCGTTAAGGCCCTTGGGCCTCTTGTTTTTACATAGGAATGTAAAAGGAAAAATCTTTATAACACCTCTTCTTAAGAACCACTAGGCCAGAAGAGTTGAAACTTAAATGAAAGCTTTATTACACAGGAAAAGAGAGGAAAAATCTTTAAAAATCTTTTTCTCAGAAAAAGCAATGGCATGATTAGTCGTAATGATATGGAAGCATCCTCAGGTAGTATAGATAAATGTTCGTTCAAATCATGACCCCTGGGTTAGGATGGGATCAAATTGGATGACCAAAATTTATATAGGAATATAGAAGAAAAAAAAATCTTTAAAAATCTTCTCTGGAACAACAATGACATGATTAGTCATACTGATATGGAAGCCTCCCCAGGTAGTGTAAATTAACGTTTGTTCAAATCATGAACCCAGGGGTTGGGTAGGGCTACAGTAGGTGATCAAAGTTTTAGAATATTTAGGATGAAAAAAATCTGCTGATGATGAACAGCAGGGCTGTAGTGTCTCAGGTGAGCATTGTGGCCCATGGGCCACTAGTTAATTTTTAGCTCTACTGGTCAGAGACCAGAAGAGCTTATGCGATAGTAAGGTGTCCGTCGTCCGTCCGTCTGTCTGTCTGTCCGTCCGTCTGTAAACAATTTTTCAAAATGCTACTCCTCCTACAGTTTTGGTCTGATTTCAGTATAACTTGGCACACAAGTAGACTACACTAAGATACATAATTCTGTGTATCGGTTTTTGATTTCAATGAACGGTGTTGCCATGGTTACTAAAAATAGAAATTTCTGTGAAAAACATTCAAAATGCTACTCCTCCTACAGTTTTGGTCTGATTTCAATATAACTTTGCACACAAGTAGACTACACTAAGATACATAATTCTGTGTATCGGTTTTTGATTTCGATGAACGGTGTTGCCATGGTTACTAAAAATAGAAATTTCTGTGAAAAACATTCAAAATGCTACTCCTCCTACAGTTTTGGTCTGATTTCAACATAACTTGCCACACAAGTAGACTATACTAAGATGCATAATTCTGTGTATCAGTTTTTGATTTCGATGAACGATGTTGCCATGGTTACTAAAAATAGAAATTTCTGTGAAATACTTTCAAAATGCTACTCCTCCTACAGTTTTTATCTGATTTCAATATTACTTGGCACACAAGTAGACTATAATAAGATACATAATTCTGTGTATCAGTTTTTGATTTCAATGAACAGTGTTGCCATGGTTACTAAAAATAGAAATTTCTGTGAAATACTTTCAAAATGCTACTCCTCTTACAGTTTTGGTCTGATTTCAGTATAACTTGGCAAACAAGTAGACTACACTAAGATACATAATTCTTTATATTGATTTTCTGATTTCGATGAACATTGTTGCCATGGTTACTAAAAATAGAAATTTCCTTGAAATACCTTCAAAATGCTACCCCTACAGTTTTGGTCTGATTTTAGTATTACTTAGCTCACAAGTAAACTACACTAAGATACATTATTCTCTGTACCAGTTTCAGATTTCGATGAACAGTGTTGCCATGGTTACTAAAAATAGAAATTTCCTTGAAATACCTTCAAAATGCTACTCCTCCTACAGTTTTGGTCTAATTTTAGTATAACTTAGCACACAATTAGACTACACTACAGGGATTTTTTTACCCTTTGATTCCAGGGGCCGGGGCCGTCAAGATTGGGAAAAATAGCGATATTTGGTTGAAATTGGGAAAAATATCTTCATACAAATAAATAGGAAAAAACAAGCCAAAGTCAAATATTTAATCATTTTTCTTTTTTTTTTTTTTTTAAAGTATGAAGCTGGCTTAAACCAGCTTTAGTGATATGAAATAATAGCGGCTGTTGAAGTTCAAAAGCTTAAAAATGGCAAAGCCGCAGGGTATGATAACATTGTAAATGAACATATATATACGTTGTCATCTTTTTTAGCTCACCTGAGCTGAAGGCTCAAGTGAGCTTTTCTGATCAAAATTTGTCCGTTGTCTGTCGTCGTCGGCGTCGTCTGCGTCGTTGTTGTCGTAAACTTTTCACATTTTCATCTTCTTCTCCAGAACTACTGGGCCAATTTCAATCAAACTTGGCACAAAGTATCCTTGGGTGAAGGGGTTTCAAGTTTGTTCAAATGAAGGGCCATGCCCTCCTCCAAGGGGAGATAATTACGAAATAGCAAAAAATTAATGGCATTATTGAAAAATCTTCTTCTCAAGAACCAGTGGGCCAGGAAAGATGAAACTCATGTGGAATTATTGTCAGGTAGTGTAGATTCAAGTTTGTTCAAATCATGACCCCCGGGGATAGGGTGGGGCCACAATGGACGATCAAAGTTTTACATAGGAATATATAGGAAAAATCTTCAAAAATCTTCTTCTCAAGAACAGCAAAGCTATGATTGGTCATATTTATTTGGAAGCATCCTCAGGTGGTGTAGATTCAAGTTTGTTCAAATCATAACCCCCGGGGGTAGGGTGGGGCCACATTGGACGATCAAAGTTTTACATAGGAATATATAGGAAAAATCTTCTTCTCAAGAACAGCAAAGCTATGATTGGTCATATTTATGTGGAAGCATCCTCAGGTGGTGTAGATTCAAGTTTGTTCAAATCATGACCCCCAGGGGTAGGGTGGGGCCAAAATGGACGATCAATGTTTATCATAGGTGTACATAGGAAAAATCTTCAAAAATCTTCTTCTCAAGAACAGCAAAGCTATGATTGGTCACATTGATGTGGAAGCATCCTCAGGTGGTTTAGATTCAAATTTGTTCAAATTATGACCCCCGGGGGTAGGGTGGGGCCGCAATGGACGATCAAAGGTTTACATAGGAATATATAGGAAAAATCTTCAAAAATCTTCTTCTCAAGAACAGCAAAGCTATTATTGGTCACATTGATGTGGAAGCATCCTCAGGTGGTGTAGATTCAAGTTTGTTCAAATCATGACCCCCAGGGGTAGGGTGGGGCGACAATGTATGATCAAAGTTTTACATAGGAATATATAGGAAAAATCTTTAAAAATCTCAAGAACAGCAAAGCCACGGTTTGTCATATTCATACGGAAGCATCCTCAGATAGTGTAGATTCAAGTTTGTTCAAATCATGACCCCCTCCCCCCCCTTCCCTTTTTAGGGGTAGGTTGGGACCACTTATGCATTTATGCTTTTCAATACTAAACTGATTTTTCCTTTTTTCCTAGCCACAGTGCTCAGGTGAGCGATCTGGCCCTTGGGCCTCTTGTTACCTTTATGTAAGAAGTTCTTTAAAATAACATTTGATAGTGGGTTTGTTCCAGATGAGTGGTTAATCGGTATTGTTTGACCAATTTATAAGAATTAGAGCGATTGAACCCAGCCTGAAAATTACCATCCTAGGCAAACTGGAGAGACTGACATGATGCACGTTTATTCTTTAGATAACGATCCCGACTTTAATTTTTAAACATTGATCCCGCTTTAAAAAGTATGCATGCAAACATCCATAGTATTCCGAATAACTTCTCGGAAGTCCTGGGATGGCTCGTACATTGCACATTGAGAACATAAACCCCTTTTTGTCATTATTTTATTTTAATAATTTATAACTTAATACTTTTTTCATATTGGGAATTTTTAGGTATGATTTTGGGAAAAAATATGCACTTTTCAGCATTGGGAATGGGGCCGAATTTCGGCCCTGGAGAGACTCTAAAAAAATCCCTGCACTAAGATACATAATTCTCTGTACCTGTTTTGGATTTCAATGAACGGTGTTGCCATGGTTACTAAAAGTAGAAATTTTCTTGAAATACTTTCAAAACGCTACTCCTCCTACACTTTTTGTCTGATTTCAGTATAATGTGGCATACAAGTAGACTACAGAGATACATAATTGGTGTTATTGTTTTTTGATTTTGTTGAATGATGTTGCCATGGTTACTTAAATCAAAATTTCTGTAAAATTGTTTTAAAAGGCTACTCCTCCTACAGTTTTAGTCTGATATAATAATAAATCTTGCCACAAAAGAGACTAAACCAAGGATCATTATTCTGTTTATTGCTGTTGCAAAGTTTCAAGTCAAAGTGCTGCTTTTATCTTCCTTTATAAATACAACCAGTAGAGCTACAGTCTCGTCAGAGACTTCTGGTTAATAATTTATGGCATTGTAATAGGTGTAAGTGAATGTAGTGAAATTAGCAATTTGAAAATGAAAATTAACATGTAAGTAACTTATCAAAATAAATGGATTTGTAATGAAGACAAAATATTATAGGCTTTTTACCCTTTAACATGGCTCATGAAGAAAATTAGCTAATAGTCTATGTACATGAAGGTTTTATCATTTTGTAGGTACGACTTCTTTATTGTGTCTCAGCATGTGAGACAAGGCACTGTCTCCCCCACTCACTACATCTGTGTTCATGACAGTATTGGGATGAAACCCGATCATCTTCAGAGGCTCTCTTACAAAATGACACATCTGTACTACAACTGGCCTGGTACTGTCCGAGTACCTGCTCCATGTCAGGTATACACATACATGTACACTGTTTTATGATTGTATGAAATTGTGTTATTCAGTACACAGAATGCAAAAAATTCTGTATTACTTGTAGATATTGATAATAGCTGAGAAAATTGAAAACATGGTTTGTCTTTCAAGTTCTTCCAATCCAGTCAATGTCCAATCAATGTTTTCTTTTTCAGTATGCCCACAAGCTGGCCTATCTGGTGGGACAGAACATCCATAAAGAACCCAGTGCTGAACTGTCAGACAGATTGTTCTTCTTGTAAATTACATGTACTTCCATCAATTTCAAGAATCAGGGAGGCTTAAGAAAAGGCAGCAATTTAGATGATACCGGTATCAGTGTCTGAATTTTGTTTTCTTTTGTGTCAGCAAAGTAGCTGAAGGTACATTAGTTAGGTGAAAAATAGTGAAAGCTATTTGTTTACATGGTTCCTTAATGGCAGTTCCTGTCTGCGCTATTTTGTAAAGGATACAGGTACATTTAGAACCTAGCTTTTACATAGACATTGTAATGTGTTTGTTCTTGTTTTTTTTTAAAGCTCTAGGTAAAGTCCCTCGTAGCACTGCCAGTAACTTTTTTTAAATATTATTATGTGGATACATGTATTTTAATTATATTTTCTTATACTGTTTATTAAAGAAAATATAATAGGTTGTGAAAAGAATACTATGTACATCGATTTGCTAGCATATATTTTCCTAGATTTGATCTTCATTATGTACACTAACTTTCTAAACCCAATATTTTCATCCTAGAATAAAGTAAATTGAACTTCGGACATTGACACTGGAATATCATGGATATGTTAAAGTGATTTGGAAGGCCCATCCATTCACTATTTTTTTATTTATGTATTGTAACCTCCGTTTTCAAACCTTTGGTTATAATGGTCTTGTCAAGCTCAAGATAACAAGGTCTGGCTGTAACAATCAAGCAAGTTGCAATGTTCTTTAAAAAAAAAAAGAAGCTAATTACACATATATTTCCCCCAGTCTTCTTTTCAAATGTCTTTTTTATTCAATTGTATATTTCTGTCAATTTTTTGTATGCGTACTCTCAAGTACTCCACTTACAAATGTTCTCTGAAAGCAACCATTGTTAACCATACTTGCTGCTGGTGAGAATGTTTAATGTATATTCATACTTCACTGTACATTGCTTTATTTTGTCATTTTGACATATTTGTATAATTTTGGTGTACCTTGAAAGCAAAGTAAACTGGTTTGGCAGAGTTAAATGAACACTTCAAAGGGCAAGCCTAAGTTAGGTGATTTAGTATCGTAAGATATATCCAACACCAAATGAAGTTATTTGCTTTTAAACTTATATTTAGTCCAATTCAAACATAAGTATAAAAAGTGGTTAATTTTCTCAAAAAAGGAATGAATGTGGATACTTCACATTAACTTCAGAACGTTTTCTTTCAGATCTCTTTAAGAAGTTGAGTAAATATGTCTATTTGAATCACTGGAATATAGTGCATGGAGAGCATATTTATTGAGTTGATGAATACAATATCTAAATGGCCATCCACTGAGCATTTATTTCTAAAATTCCATGGCCTGATACAGTGTGCATGTACAAGCCATAAGATTCATCCACACTCAAATGCTACATTGCTCTACCCAACCAATTTATATTGCTTTGGCTTTACCATTTTCAAAATTTATATACACTTGTACATTGTAATAATGCAGTTTTAAATCTAGTCATGGCAGCTTATTAAAACAAGCTTTGTAGTTCAGATGGAGGTTGGTGAATCTGTTCTCATAAACTTTTCTGCAGCACAAAGGCTTCTCATTATCTTTTGCACTAATGAAGTTGACAGCATACTTGATAGTATATTCAGTTTGAAGGATCATTTTAAAAAATCGGACAAAGTACATGTATTCAATTTTTAGGACAATGTTCATGGATTTATGGATGTTTTACTGTAGATTAATTATACCCCCCGCAAACGAAGTTTAGGGGGGGTATATTGGAATCAGCATGTCCGTCTGTCTGTCCGTCTGTCTGTAGACGAGAGTTTGTCCGGACCATTTCTTGGAAACTGTTGGAAGGATTTGTCTGAAAATTTGTACACTTATTATTCACCATATGAAAGTGTGCACCTGGTATTTTCATTATGATTGGATAATTATTTTGCATTTTACAGGTGTTTTTTTCATTTTTATTATGTGGTTTTGTCTGGATCTGTTCCCAGAGACTATTGCATAGATTTGTATGAAAATTTGTACACTTATTATTTACCATATGAAGATGTGCACCTGGTATTTTCAACATTATTTGATAATTTTTCTGCATTTTACAGGTGTTTTTTTTAATTTAATTTATTGACTTAGTCATTTCGGGTTCATCTCTAAGGTTTGAGACATAGAATCTAGAACATCTGTACAAAAATGTGAACTACAGCTTAAAACTACTCATTAGAACTAAAAAAAAACCCACAAAGTATTAAAAACAGTTTTTACATTACACAGCAGATAGTGTAAATCCATTTGTCCCTTGGGAGTAATGAGTGGACATGCATCCAGTTAAAGATTAATTAATGAGTTCAGTGTGGGAAGCTGTTAGGGCATCTCTGATCAAGCAGGTCTTATCTATATCTCAGGGGAATTGGGCAGAAAGAAATAAAGATCTCTGTTGTCTAAGTCTCTTACTTGTAATTTATGTCTGTCAAATACATAGTTACTAAAACCAGCCTTTTATTTTTAAAATGAGTTTGATATAAAGGTATTAAAATCAATTTGATTTTCTATAATTAATTATGATATTCTTTTTTTCAACAATCAATTTGCAGAGTGTCATGTCTCACAAAGATGGCAGATAGTTGCAAACTATTTTTTCAATGTAATAAAAAACACTGTAATTATTAGTGTTGATGTTTTATTAGGCTGCACCTTAGTTTCATTCATTAAATAAAGTGCCCCACCACAGCATGATACGCCCATCAAATATTGTTAAATTATCATAAACAGTTTAGATTCAATTGTTTGAATGACATCTTAGCGAGACAAGGCAGTCTGCAATTTGTTGTAAAGATATAAAAATTCAAATAAAAAATGTACAATAAATAATTAGTTTAAATTATATTATACAATATCATATAACTTTTAATTATTATATACAATATCAAATTAGTTTTAATTACATCAAATTTATCTTGAAAGTAAGACTAGCCAACAAGAACAATTCAATACAACACAAGCAATTAATTAAGAGACTGATTCCTTTTGCCCAATTCCCAAGAGATGTAGATAACACCTGCTTGATCAGAGATGCTCTACCAGTTATCTCCTCACACAAAACTCATTAATTTCTCTCTAATTTGACATGCAATTTTCTGCTATCAAAATTTTCCTTGACCAGTGCCTGATCATTACACCCATGGGAGAAGTGGAATTTTTGTTGTTACAGATTGCTGTAAAGAACATAATGAAAAAAAATAAGACTAGTATTTTCTTGATTTAACACTTTTTTAATAAAGATACTGCAATACTCTGACATCTTTTGGGACTGTGTAATTTAAAAGTTAAAAGACATAGTTTTTTGATTCTAAGTCTAATGGTTTTCTAGTTATGATTTTTCCATATCTGGCCATAGCGTCTTTATTAAAGGTCAGAGCGACCTGGTTTTAATGTGCGACACACCTTCTACCCTAGATGTATCAGCTGACAAAGTTTGATAATTCTAGGCCTAATAGTATTAAAGTTATGAGCCGGACATGAAAAAGCTAACGGATGGACAAACATGAACGCTATAACATAATACGTCCCGTCGTAAGACGGACGTATAAAAATATATAACGAGTAATTAAATTTTCACTGTAAATGTTTAAGGAAATTGTGAACACCTCTCACATCTAGAAAACATTAGTGATTTGGTACTTTCTCTGAAAAACCCAGCGGGGGGTATTTGTCCCTTTTGGACAGTTCTAGTTCTTTCAAAGAACAGCAATTTTATGTTGGAGGAAGTTCAATACCTCAGTTGTTAAACAGTTCTTTTACTATTTGTATTCACAAGAACTATTAATTGTACATAGGCAAATAATACATTAATAGGGGCATTATTCATTTAATATAGAAAAGTTGCAGAAGATTTAGTTATGAGCATATCACCTTTAAAAAAAAAATCATGTAAAGCGTTATGATTTTTGTCCTTTGTCGGAACTCATTTATATTGCATAAAGACTATGATGCAATTAGTGTTTTCATTTCTTAGTGTACTCAAAGATGTAATAAATTGTTGATTAAATTTTTCTTCTTGTTTTTTTAATTCCCAACTCAGAACTAGGGTTGGATACCGTTAAGGATGAAACGGTACGATACCATACCGGTATTTTTAAAACGATACGGTATTTTTAACGATACGGTACTATACCTCGATGAATGAGAATGAGGGCTCATTTTATAACAAATGTGCTTTCACCAATCTTCAACCATTCAATGATATAATCTAAAATGAGCCTATAAACTATGTTATATTTCAATCTTTTAATAAATCATCAACAAAACAATTAATTGAATCTCAAACAAATTAATCTAACTAGATACAGCTGACCGCTTCACCCGGTTGCCACTTGCCAGGACTAGTTTGGTCGCACTATACGACAAAATATTAAAAATGGATAGAGATGCACATCACATTTTTGCGACATTTTGCATTTTTTATTTACAATTATTATCAGTTTTTATAAATGAAATTAAAACACGATTAATGTGAATGTTTTTTTTAATTTTTAAATATACGTATTGATTTACCTCGAATATTGGCAGTCAAAAGCAAGTATTGTACTAAGCATCCATTTCGTTAAATAGCCTACCCTTTCAATGCGCGGAGAATTTTATTTTAGCGAGTCTGGAATCTCTTTTTTAAAAATCATTTTGAATGTATTAAAATGTTTCAAAGATTGAGAAATACCGTTATTAGTACCGGTTTTAAATGAAACGGTATTTTACCGGTATTTTTGAAGTAACTATTCGGTACGGTAATGGTACCGAGTACCTGTATCCAACCCTACTCAGAACATTATTGAAGATGGAGAAGGTGAAGATAGTCAAAATACACTAAAACCTGATAATAAGTAAATTGTTAATTCACCTAAATATGCAGTTACTTGTAAAGGGAAGTGGATTGAATTTTAGTAATTTATTCTCTTAAGTTTACCTTTGTAAACTATTCATACAAAATCTTCCCCTTGGCTCATTTTGTCTTATTCACCAACAGAGTGCCTTTAAGTGAAAGGTATAGAGTGACCTCGGTCAAAGTTTTTTTGATTTAAAGAAAAAAAGTCAGAATAGGTGTCTGTAAAGTCCTCGTGCATAGCAAATAGTTCCCCTTAGCCGAGTCTGGATCATCACATGGAGCATATTTTCTCCCCATTAACCAGAGATCTCTGCAGAGCGTATTCTCTTTCCTTTGCCCTCTCTGGATCCTTACACAGTATATATTTTCTCCCCTTTGCCCAGTATGGATCATACTCAACACTGAGTATATTCTCTCCCATTTGCCAAGTCATAATCCTTACACAGAATATATACAGTATGTGTACCTAAAAAAGCTGGCTTTATATTTTAGGGGCTTTGGCACGGACAATGATGCTCTAATTCATGAATACCGCTAAGGTGTCATTCACTTTTACAATACACGGCACAGACGTGTTGCGCTAATTCATGACTATGCCAACTACATATTCCTTGATTGCGCTAAATTTTGAATATGCCAATTTATGTACACGTACAGTATTTTTCTCCCCTTTGCCCAGTTTTGATCCTTACACAGAGTATATTATCTCCCCTTTGTGCAGTCTGGATCCTTGACCAGAGCATATTTTTTTTCCCTCCCTTTAGCCCAGTCTGGTTAATACTTTATTAATGAGCATCCTTGACTTTCAAAAGAATTTCTACATGTCAAAGTGGAAGCAGTTTCCTGTCTGAAATGTCTTGATGCCCTTACATCAGTTTTACTCACAATCCACAGAGACCTTGATCTAACTTACCAGGCATTGCAAGGTCAAAATAAGTTATGCAGAAGTACTTTTTTCGGCCCGGTATTAATTAATAATTTACACAATGTATGCAGTCACAAATTTTCTGCAGAAATTTGTCCCAGCATACTTAACATGCATATAATGGCAATGTTAGAAATCCCTGTAATTTTTTTCCTTTGGGTTAAACAGAAATTCTGATTTTGCAGAATTATGACCCCACAGTAAAAAAGGGTATTTATCCTTGTCTTAATTAATTCTGCAGGTATGTTAAGGTTTCCCATAGGATATCAAAGCATCTAGGCAGTCACTTCTCTGAACTAAAAAAGTATAATGTCATAATAGAATAATAATTACATGTATTGACATCAAGTCATATTAAAGATACCATAATTACTTCACTTTCATATAAAATACAACGCAGAGTGGAAAATGCCTTCAAATGTTCAGGTAATTTGAACGCATGAAATAATTTGTACAAGTACATGTAAACTATTTTTCCCAAGCAATTTTCAATTAGACTAAAATACTACGAGTGCCTTTATGTAACAAAAAAAATTGCAGCATATGATACACCTGTCAAATACCGTTCAATTATTATAAACAGTTGAGTCCAAGGAAGAAACATAGGTAATCAAAGATTACGAAGCTCACCTCAACGAATGTTATCTATAAGTAAGGCAAATTTCACATCATATTTTTTTCTAGTTAGGGTACATCCCAAGATCAATATCCATGCAGGTTTGGTTTAAGTAGGACTTATAGTGACTTGAAAATAGACCTGCTCAAAAAACTTTTATCCTGTTTACTACTCAAGAAAATTTTGGTCAGTTCCAACATCCAAAGCAAGTCTGGAAGTTTCATCTTTAAATGCACCATCTATGCAAGTTTAATCATAACAGGCCATAATATTATATAGCTACTCCAAAAAAAAAATTACCCTGGTCACTCATCTGGAAAATGTAAGTCAGATTCAGAATCCAAAGAAAGTCTGGAAGTGTCCATCCCTAGATACATCATCCATGCTAATTTGGTTAAAATATGGCTAAAATTCACTCATGTGGAAAATCTAGGTCAGATCCAACATCCTAAGCAGGTTGGTTAGTGTACATCCCTAGATGCATCATCCATGAAAGTTTGGTCCAGGTAGGGCTTATTGTCACTTGGGAATGAGACTGCTCCAAAATCTAAACCTGGTCTTGCATGTGGAAAATCTAAATCAGATCCAGAATCCAAAGCAAGTGTGGTAATGTCCATTCCTAGATGCATCATCCATGCAAGTTTGGTCCAGGTAGGGCTTATAGTTACTTGGGAATGGACCTGCTTCAAAAACTTTAACCTAGTCACTCATCTGGAAAATCTAGGTCAGATCCAGCATCCGAAGCAAGTGTGGTAGTGTCCATCCCTAGATGCATCATCCATGCAAGTTTGGTCCAGATAGGGCTTATAGTTACTTTGGAATGGACTTGCCCCTAAAACTTTAACCGGGACGCCAACACTAACGCTGACACTGACGCCAGGGGTTTTGCATAAGCTCATCTCGACTTCGTCGAGGTGAGCTAAAAACGTATCAACCTTGTTATAAAGATTTCAATGATTTTTCCATTCCTAATGTTTGATGTGCATTTCCTATGGTGTAATTATTAATTAGCACAGATACATGTATTACATCATATTTCTCAAATGGCTGTGTTAAGATTGTTTACATATGCCCTTCTGCAGCTTTGTCTTTTTATGAATGATTAACAATGCTACAGCCTAATAAAACATCAAAACTAATCATGTTTATTCTTCAGACTCTTACTAGACAAGACACTCTAAATAAATTTTTGTTGAGATAAAAAAAAAAATCAAATAATAAAAAATATTTTATTCAATATCAAATTAGTATTAATTACTTTAACCATATTTATTTTGACCTGCAGCTATAAGTGAACCATATAGGTCAAAATATATAACTTTGTAGTCATGAGAAATAAGTTTTAAGCACAGATTGTAATGGCTCTGCTAAAAATCTTGTATCAAATTATATTTCAAACAAACCAAGGGCAAAAAAAAAAAACAAAACAAAAACAACCAAACGTTGAGAATATTTACTATCAAAAAGTAACGGATAGTATGTCTGGCCTGCTGCCCATTTTTGCTAAAACCAAACAACAAACATTCACTGAAAAATCAGCTTTTATCAAAAAAAGCTAGTCACATGTAACACTAACATAATATACAACTGAGATGCAGGGGAAAAGCTAAGGTCATATTACTCTCTGTCCTGAACATTAAGTTGAAATTTCAAAGCATTTTTCTCCTTTCTTTTAAATATCTTGATGGCTGAATTTTTATTTTTCAGTCTTCAGTGTTCCGCATTTTGGAGAAACAATGCTACCACACGTCCATGTAGCTAAATCTGGGAATGTCTAATGCCACACAAGGCTTCAGAAGGAAGGCATTGCTAGCCAATAAAGACTGGCTGTTGAACAATCAGCTGTTTGAGTCAGACTCGTGACTTTCACGGATGGATATTTCATGGTCCAGTCGTTCTTCTAATGCTGTTATGTAGTCAGCAGGTAAATTCCTCTCCTCTCCGATTTTCTGGGCTATGGCACTTGCACTGTCATTCTGTTGTGATATACCAAATCAGTTAATATTTATAATTAAGAATTAAAATGAAGAGCTATTCACTTTTACAATAAAAATAAAAAAAACTAGAAAACTGACCGGTCAGCAAGGGCCCCGCCAAGGGGTAGAAATATAAAGGTGCAACTTACAGAATGAGAATTTTAATTGATTACAAAAATTAAAAAATATATGAAGAAGAATATGCAATAACAACTGTATTTATAAAATTTCAAGATAATTCCTAAATATCCAACTACCTGTAAAGAGTATCCCTGTATTTACATAAGGCAGTAAAAAACATATTTATAATAACTCAATTAAATGTATATTTAAACAAGAATAAAGCATGTGTTTTATAAAATGCCAGCCTTCAGTGAATGCAAATATCACACAGGCTTGACCTTAACTTCAAAACAAACATCAGTTGCAGACAAAGGTTAATTTATCTTAAAGTGACAAATAAAGATAAGCTTGGAAATTTTTCTGCCCCAGACAAGATAATTAATCCCAGGGGATTAATTGTACTGCTCTCTCATCCTTTTCTTCCAAGTTTACAATAAGAACTTTTTCAGTAATGACAGAATGAGTTCATTATCGGACTACCTGTTAAAATTAATAGTACATGTATTCTTGAATTTACATAAGGCAGCAAGAAAAAAAAATGAATAATAAATAATAAAAAAAACATATCTTGATGTATATCTTGTCTTTAGAATTCAATAAAATCATAACTCATTGTGTATTTTACCAAAATAAAGTATGAACATTATTTAAATCCACATTTCAGAGAATGTCACCATCATTCAGAATTGACCTTAACTTCAAAACAAACTTCATTTGTAGACAGAGGTGTTAATTAATCTCAATTTGACAGAAACAGATAATGCTTTGGATTTTCTTCTAGAGGAAAGCTAATTAATCCCATGGGACTAGTTGCAGCTTTCATACTTTACAATAGGAACATTCTCAGCAGTTATCTCTCTATGCCCTGGCATTCATTCTAATGTAAAGTTAAGGAATCTACCCCACCACCCCAGCTCCAAACTAGATGACATAGAGAACCAAACTTAGCATCAAAATATGTCTTACTGCCTCTTCAACCAACATACCAAATTTGAACTTAATTGGTCAACTACAAAAATAGTTATTAGAAAAAAACAGAAAATTTGTGGACGGAAGAATGACAGACGGACAGACAGACAGACAGAGTGATTACTATAGGGCACCCGCAAATCCTTGCGGGGTCCTAATTACTGCTCTGTTTATCAGTAAATTGGATGATATATGAAAAATTGAAGAAGCCACCTATACAATTGTAAACTATAAGTGAACAAAGTTTTATACAAAATAAATATTCAAGATGATTATTGGTATTGCATAAATTTCTCTAATTCTCCATTTAAAGGCCAACAAGTGCATATAATAAGGATGTCAAAGAGTACACTGTTAACCAGGCATTAATTCAAGTATGGAATACTAAAATCAGTACTCTGTTACTCAGGTGTAATTTTTTTATATTTCAGAGTATATGTATTTGTTAAAAACTTCAATAATATAAATAAAATACTGAGTATTCATTTGTCCACTTATATACAGTAATTATCGTCACATACACCAGTTAATACTCCATTTATAATTATGTGTATAGTAATTGATATTTTTTGTATTTATTTAATACATGTACTAAAAAGTTGTTTTCGTTGGGCTTGAGGTTTCTTCCATTATTAGTATGTACTGTATATGAATTTAAAAAATCATTGATGGGGGCTTAATTGGTTCCAATAAAATTAACAAACTTAAATTGTATATACATTTTACCAAATACCCAGGTACTTGATCAGAAAATCTGATTATCAAATATTGGTATTGACCAATAAGACATCCCTAGAACATAACAATCTAGAGAAGCTAGAATGCATCCTTGGAAGTATTATTCACAAATTTTTGATGCAGGTAGACATATATTTAACAATCTGCTCCTTAAACTTTTGCCTTGAAAACAAGACACTTGCAGCATCCTCAGCAAGAATGTTAGCATATATCCCTAGATGCATTAACAATGCATATATGGTCAGCATAAGTATCTAAGTTAGAATGCTGATGGACCTGTTCCAAAAACTTGAACCTGGTCTTTGTGTAGAAAATATAGGTCAGTTACAGCATCTGAAGCAAGTCTGTATGCATCTTTGAGGAATTACCCATGCAAGTTTGGTCTAGGTAGAATTATTTTACCTGCTCTAAAGACTTTAAGCTGGTCAGTTACATGTATCTTGGAAATTTAGATTCAGACACAGCATCCATAACAAAAGCACTCCTCCATTGATGTATCATACCTGCAGGATTAGTCTAGGTAAGAGTATACAACCTGGAAATTTGACTTGCCCCAAAAACTTTACCCTTGGGATGCCAACAGTACAGCATAAGCGTTTGCCCACATCAGCTAAAATCTTTATTTATAGGAAAATAATCAGGCTGAAGTAAATGGATACCTTACACACAGAGGTCTTGTATATAGAACCATCCTTATCTTCAAATTCCAACAGAAATATTTCTGAAAAGAATTGAATACTTAAGTGTAGATGAAGTAAGATGGAATATTTTTCTGTTGCTGATAAATTGGTAACTGCCAAACTTCATGCTTATATCATTAATAATCATTTCCTATTGCTTTTAAAGTAAGTACATGTACAAGCCAATGCAATGAACAAGCAATTTCTCAGCATACCGGAAAGTACAACAGTGCAATGTGACAATTTATGTTCAGCACATACATGTTGCATTTTATTTTTTGCTTTAAAAACTGTCACTAATTTTTTAACTCAACTTTGCTGGCTGAAAGTGTTTCAGATACATTTCTCTCTTCACAAACCCTTGGCCTATTGAGCCATTAGTTTTTGACAAGAGATGTGTCAGAAAGATATTTGGTATTTTCACATAATTTTAAGAGACGTTGGTTTACGGTATTGATTTTAGTTACGGTTACCTTTCAACTTTGTAGGTGGGATATACACATTAAGATCAGGTTTCTTTGCTTTACTTTGCCTATGTCTTGGTTTCTCATTAAGTTTAGCTTTCACTTCCTTATCATATGTATCTCTAAAAGAGAAAAAAGAATATGCAGATTAATTAAAATAGCAAATCTATAATCCACAGTGCTGAGTAATTAAAGCTTTTTGTTTTCTTAAAGATGAACATACTAGTATATTAATGAATAGTCTACATTTACGGTCCTTAAATTTGTCATTCCCCTTTGATATAAAAATTAGATGAAGACTTGTACAAGCACAAGAAATAAAATTGATTCCAAGTTGACAATGCAATGACATATTTTTCAAATTTGTTTGTACTGAAAATTTAATGAAAGTCATTTTTGCATTAAGAAAATTTATTTAAATTCACTTCAGCTGCAGTTCTGAAGCTCCCTGGTCTGAAAAAGCTGGGATCGACAACCAGAGAAGTACAGTGGCAAGACTATTTGGTCCAACACTTTTTGTGCAGATGTCAAGTATGAGAGTTAATGATAGAGGTCGGAAGTATATTTTTAAATTGCAGGTGAGGTAAAAATTTTGGAGAGATAAATCCAGAACAGAGTGCAACTCTTTTGTGCAATATATATACAGTTTTTCATTTGGGTGGCACTGTAGCTCTCCGGTCTGTCAATATTTAGAATTTAGAACTCTGGATGGCCGGAATTTGTTGTTTTGAATCAGGTTTAGAATTTGCACTTGTTTCTAGGCACGTGAAAGCAAAGTTTGAAAAAATGTTAAAATATCATGTTTTTGGAATTATTTGCAAGATGTGAGGGTTTTTACAGTAAGTAATCAATGTTCCGAGATGTCCGGTGCTAAAAGTCAGTGGGTGCAGCGCCGTTTTAAAAAAACAAACCATGTAAACAAGCGAGTGAAGCAGACACCATTACAGAGCCTGCATACCTTTTTTTTAACACAGGTCTGGTACAATCACTAGATTTAGCTACGTAGCTTGAATTACCTACATAGCTTTATTACCTACCTGAAGTAGCTTTATTTGGCTACTAAATCAAACTTCTTTCTTAAATTAGCATTTTCCCTAGAATGTGCAGAAAATTGCACCTTGATGCAGAGATAATTTTGAACTTTGAACTCATCTGAAAACAATTCATGAAAAAATCACTCTTGGAGATGTGTCTTTTTCTGCCCAATTGCAATCAATGTTCTAAAAGTTTTGGGGCTATATACAACAGTTAATTTGTGACCTAACAGTTACTTCTTGGGTGAAATAACACAGAAAACCAGTTTTTGTTCACATGAGCACAATGTGAAGTAATCATACTTATCCACGCCTCATCACACACAAAGTGGTGTACAGTTACTCAAACAATGGAAATGCATATTTTCTTTAAAAGTGTTCAACGCAGCAATGTTAAAACTATTTCTGCTTAAGATTGCTCTTTAAATAATACCTAGAATATATATCGTCGTATACCCTAAATTCGTCCGTACCCTAAAATCGTCCTCAAACTTCACACAGCCCGCACGTTTCGAACAATGTATCGATGACGTCATTTTTAATTGTTATGACTGGTGAACACAATGATGCAAATGTATTAGCAATTATTTTTTAGAGTTTGCAGTTTAAACTCGTAGTAAAATTAAAGAGAATAAAAATCCTTAAACTATCTGTTTTTCCTTAGGTTCATTTTCTATTGAAAATGTACACGGCAGTTACGTTCCCAAAAATCACTTCCAGATCAAATTTACCTTCATTTTATTATTTTATACCTTTCAATGTATTGAATTACGTGCATGGGCTTTTAATTTAAGAATTTGAAAACAAAAATTTAATGCTCCCAAATCATAAGGATCTTATACACTTTCCACCTAGATATTGACGTTACCCGTGTTTGGTTGACGTACTATGCGGCCATGCGGGTATTAAATCATTTCAGAAAAAAAAATCTAAGTCATCACTGCAAATGATAGAGTCTCCAAAAATCAAAGATTTTATCAGTAACTTTGACTAATAACTGTGAATGCTTCCAACAAAACAATTTCTGTTGGTCGAAATTAAAACAGTTTATATCATGCTGGTGTTTTTCTTTTTTCTTTCATTTTTTTGGTGATTTTTGTTTGTTTGTTTGTCTGTTTGTTTTTTTTAATAAGTTGTATATAATCGAAATTTTCTTTCCTCCAGGAATATGTTATTAAAACGACAAATAAATAAAATCAATATTCATCGTACGTAAGAATTTATCATACCCCTCCCCCCTCCACCCTTAACAAAATCAATCTTTCAACATACCCAAGCAATGATGATCACATTGTTTAGATAGATCTACTTTTGACCTTGCTCACTTGCTCAGTCGCCGGTCCTGATCAATAACCCCCCCCCCCCCCCCCCCTTCGCAAAAAAGTCGAAAAGTAGTCAAGTAATTAAGAAGAGAAAATTTCATTTTTATAAACCAAGAATTTATTTTATCAAACAGTAGTTTTATTTAGTCGACCAAAGAAGGTGTATTTTTGTTACAATTTTTACCAGTTTCACAGGTGCCATGTGCATTGAAGCATAAGTAATCCAGCGGTCGTCTACTGGGGTACGAAATTCAAGACATATTGATAATCAAGTAAAACAAGATCTTTACTGCCACTCTTTAATTAATTTCTCATCTACTACACAGTAGATAAAAAGTTTTTTTCCTGTAACGTGAATATTTTACGCATTATAATTAGGTGATCAATTCAAATCTACGTCGTAACCCCAACCATTAAATTAAATTTTTCTGATTTTTCCAGATTGTGTCGGTCAGACTTGCACTGTTCAGATATATTGATTTTCTATAGGTTTTTGCCAGTAAGGCCAATGCATTTCGGAAAATCTTAAATATAACATTGTATAATTGTATATCAGGTAATTTGATGAGCATGTATTGTAATGACATCGTTGACAATGTAAATCTGAAAGCACATTCGTGTTTCTTAAAAAGAAAACGGAGTCGGTAATAGCTAAAACAATTGAATGTTCTTAAATTGATAAGAATATTTTTAAAAAGAAACCTTTTGCCCAGAAGAACTTTATTTATAATTTTTATTTTAATGATTTTCCACAAATCACAAAAAACAAATGGACCAATCACTTGCGTCCGTTTTTATATGTGAAGGACGAAAATAGGGTATGGGTGACATTTTTAAGTGTAAAAGTTTGATTTTGTAGAAGAGCTCTAAAAATCTTGTCAAGAGTGATATGAAAAAATGACTTTTAACATTTAATCAGCATTTCCGTTCTATAGCTCGCACTGAAGTTTGTTTATCAGTTTGCACGCGCTCATCTTTACTATGACGTAGAATGTCGTAAGGGGACGATTTATGGGTACTCTAGGATATTAGTAGACATTTACTTGCAGACTCTTTGTCTTTTTAAAATAAAAAGAAAACTTGTGAAAACTTGCCTTGAAATAGCTAAATAAAGCTACCAGAGGTAGGTAAATAAAGCTACGGTAGGTAATTTTAGCTATGTAGCTAAATGTAGTGATTGTACTGGACCTGTTACATATCAATAACGTACACAGGTCCGGCACAATCTCTTGATTTAGCTATATAGCTTGATTTAGCTATATAGCTTTATTAAACTATTCAGAATAGCTTTATTTAGCTATTTTATCACACTTTTTTCTTAAATGTGCTATTTTCTCAGCATCCACAAAAAGTCGCACCTTGGTGCAGTGATAATATTCAACCTTGAACTCTTCTGAAAATAATGCATGTAAAAATCACTCACCAAATTGTGTCTCCTTAACAGACTTTGTACTCAAAGTTCTAAATGTTTTGAGGCTATATAAAGCAATTGATACAGTTACTTCTGCAATGAAATTATAAAGGAGGCCAATTATGGTCAACAAGATAATTGATTGGTAATAATTCAGTACAATGAGAAGCAATCATACTTATCCATGCCTCAATGCACACAAGGTAGTGTACAGTTACTCAAACAATGGAAATACATCTTTTGCTTAAAAGTATTCAAATGCTGCAATGTTAGAACTATCTTTGATTTCGGTTGTTGTTATGTTAGCCCATAGTACATATATGTAGGGGTGAAACGATACGCCTCCTTCACGGTTCGATACGTATCGTATAATTTTGTCTCGGTACGGTTATTTTCGATACGATACATATTTGATAGAACATGTAGAAGGAAACAAATTCAACCGTTGTTTTATGCTTCCTTTTACTTAATCTAGTCATATAATTTACGTGCAAAATGACTAGAAGAAATCAATTTAATTGATTTGACTGTTAAAAATTATTTTACAAACTACCAGTCCACAAAAAATTACGTTTTTGTACTAATTATACTGAGCAACATGCTTATACCTTATGCCAAACCCGACTGAATGACGATCCCGACCAAAAAACGAACCGAACCGAAAATAGAGATTTTGTACCGTGTATCAAACCGAGAAAAAATACCGCGGTGAATCGATACCGCGGTGAACCGTTTCACCCCTACATATATGAATAGTCAAATACTTGCGACTTTTTGTCTATTTCTTGCAAAAAACATTTTTGTGAAAAACTGTATAAAAATAGCTTTGTCAAGCTATTTTGAATAGCTTAATAAAGCTATATAGCTATTTCAAGCTATATAGCTAAATCAAGAGATTGTGCTGGACCTGGTACAGTATAGATAGAACGTTCTATCGTTAAAATGATATTGTCCTACGGACCCGGTTTAACGATAGAATTCGTTCCGTGTATTGGCAATGTAGCAAAATAAACACGGGCGATAACTCGTACTCTGTGCATTTTCTATAATCAATCTAGAGAGTTCTGAATGTCAACATGGTGTTAAATTTGAAGCGAGGAAAAAAGTTGAGAAAATGAGTTGATTTTTCGTATTTATATGAATTATTTTTTAGGTTAAAAGACATATACCATCTCAAAAAGGTTTGTTATGATTAATTTGGTAGTTATTTTCAGTGCAACTCCTTTTGTATTTTTCAAAATCATTTCGGAGTGGAGTGGGACGTATTCTAACTGTGGTGAGGGCTTGTCCCGAGACACAGTTAGATTATTCTAACTAGGTACAGTACAAAACCAAAGTACCTGTGTTCAGAGTTCACAGGACTATATTTTATAGGACTATATTTTAACAACAGAAGGTTCTTCCTAGTAGTCATTGCTATTATCTATAATCAAAAATAACACTTTTTACCTGGACACTTGATTTTGTATAATACTTTTCATAAAACCATGTTTCATATCAAGCTTTGATCGAACGCCAGCAGCCATATTGTTTTATAAATTTTATCTTAGGTCATACGTTATTTTTTCGTATATTTTTCCGAAGCATTGTTTCTGAAAAATGCTTTAATTTAACTGTGAATGACGTATGTACAGCAACCATAAAACAACAAATTTTTATTTTCGATTTTTAAGCAACCATGTGCTGCAAAACTGATGGAATGCAAATATACAAAACGCACGAGTTGTTTAACTTTCTGCACGAAATTGATGACGTTTTTCACATAAGAAGCAAAGTATGGCGGAAAATGTGGACTCGAACGACCAAAATACGACGGATAATCCGATAAAAGGCATTCTGAAACGAAAAAAGAAAGAAGAGGAACCCGTGAAGTCAATTTTGAAAAAATCTAGAACTTCAAGTGAAGGTGACAGGGAGGCATCTACTCCACAACCCCGTAGTATTCTGAAAAAGAGGTCTGACAATGCCGGCGATACCTCGTTAGAACAAAAGAGCACAGAAGACGAAGAAAAGAACAAAATCTTGCCAGTAAAAGTTAAAGTGGAAAAAGATTTACATGAACCTGCAAAATCACCAAAAAAGTCCCTTGAAGCGAAACAACTGAAGAGTAAAGTCAAGGCTGAAAAGACATCACCCCCATCAGCCCCACTGAATGTTGATCTCTACAATGAGGACGACGACGATTATGGTACAAAATGCATCTTGAGTTAATTTTTAGCTATGTTAACCGATTTTTATGCCCCACCATGAATATGGCCAAGGCATATAGTGTTTTATCATGTCCGTCTTTCATCCTTCCATCTGTCCTTCCATAGGAGTTCGCAATTTTATCAATAAAGTCAATAAAAATCACTCGATTGACCAAGCCATGAGCTATGCGTTAGCATAGCGAACAGGAATGCAACGCGTTTTTGGAGAAATCGACCAATTTGCTTTTACCCACTGCTTATTCAATACAGCTCGTCATGTTTAATTAACTCTCTGTCACTATTACTTTCACATTGCTTACCGTCTAGGCATATAAATTCCACCATAAAAACATTCACTAAAATCTCCGTTCAAAATATGGCTCCCCTGACGTAATTGTTTATCTCCTCGCACTAAAGAGTTCCTACAGTCTGTTTTCGTTTATGTGATACTGAACCTTTACTGTGGCTTTTAAGTATTTTTGATAGAAATGAAAACAGACCATAGAGGAACTCTTTAGTGCGAGGAGATAAACAATTACGTCAGGGGAGCCATATTTTGAACGGATATTTCAGTGAATGTTTTTATGTTGGGATTTACATGCCTAGATGGTAAGCAAGGTAGAAATAATAGTGACCAGGGTTAGAAACTCCCTAAAATTACAACTCGCAAATAATTGCGAGTACCAAGAGAGTGAACTCGCAATTTTGTAAGACTACTCGCAATTTTCATATAAAGTTAAATTTATATAAATTAAATCCATGTAACTTAAGGAAAAAGTAACTACTGTACAATACACAAAATACAACTACAGTGTGACTTTTATTTTAATTAATGATTTAAATCAAAAGCATTGTGTTCTGTCACATTATATAATTTTGCTACAGTTTCAATGCAAAAGAAATCAACTCGCAAGTTTTTGCTAGTTACCTAATTTTTCACTCGCAATTTGGGAATTCTAACTCGCATTTTGCCAGTTGTATATAGTGAATTTCGAACCCTGAGTGACAGAGAGTTAATTTAACTACTAAATGACTTAATTGAAGCGAACGACAGTGTCGCCTAGGTGAATAATTCTTGCTATAGCCGGCCGAAGTTGGGGCTGAATTCCCAGACATGAATTATGAAGGACTGTCCCGAGATTCGGTGGGCGTCAGACCAAATATCTAGCCCAGCCGAATCTCCACCGAGATTAAGCTCGTCAGCATTGGTATCAAACAACATTTCTCTACTAAAATTTGCTTTCTAACCCTTCTCGAATGCTGTCAATACCCACTTTCTTCGATTTCGCATAAACATTCTTTTTACCGAGAAGCCATTGCGTGACGTCACATCAAACCCTAACCCGACAAATAATTATTTTGATTGTTTTAAATAAAAAAATAATAAATACGTTGTCAATTGTACATATTTTATTTTATAAATAAATTGAATAAATCATAATACTTAATATCCCCCGATTATTTTTTTATGGCGAGAAACCATGATGTCGAGTTGTTCAAAATCAAAGGGCGATAATTTCAGTTGCATGTGCGCGCAAATTGAAATATTGAGTAAGTAAAAGAAATTCCTCGTGTCCAACAACTTTGCTGATACACTTTGGTAAGTTGGTGATAATTTAAAGCAACAGGAAATAATTTAAAGTTTATTCTCTATCTTTTTTTTATTTAATAATTATTTATCGGGTTCGGGTTTGATGTGACGTCACGCAATGGCTTCTCGGTAAAACGAATGTTTACGCGAAATCGAAGAAAGTGGGTATTGACAGCATTCGAGAAGGGTTAGAAAGCAAATTTTAGTAGAGAAATGTTGTTTGATACCAATGCTGACGAGCTGTATTGAATAAGCGGTGGGTAAAAGCAAATTGGTCGATTTCTCCAAAAACGCGTTGCATTCCTGTTCGCTATGCTAACGCATAGCTCATGGCTTGGTCAATCGAGTGATTTTTATTGACTTTATTGATAAAATTGCGAACTCCTGTGGTCCTTCCGTCGCGCTTTGGGTTTAGCTCAGTTCAAAGCTCAGTTTCAAAGAAACTATCCAAAATATTTTCCTTAAACTACATATGCTGATAGATAATGATGAGAGCTATGCAACTGCATCAATATTTTTTTACCTTGACCTTTCCTTTGACCTTGACCTCGCTTTTCCTAAATTAGTGTTTAGCTCAGTTTTAAGGATACCATTCAAGATAGTGTAATCAAACTTCATATGTTGTTACATACTGATGAGAGCTATTCAACTGCATCAACATCTTTTGACCTTGACCTTTTCTTTGTCCTTGACCTCACTTTTCTTAAATTAGTGTTTAACTCAGTTTTAAAGAAACCATTCATAATATTTTTGTCAAACTTCAGATGCTAATACATACTTATTTAAGCTTTACAACTGCATCAACATTTTTTGACCTTGACCTATCCTTTGACCTTAACTTCATTTATTTTAAATTAGTGTTTAGCTCAATTTTAAATAAACCATTCAAAATATTTTTATCAAACTTAATATGCTGATACATATTTGTGACAACTATTCAACTGCATCAAAAATGTTTGACCTTGAACTTTCCTGTGACCTTGACCTCACTATTCTTAAATTTGCATTTTGCTAAGTTTTAAAGAAACCATTTAAGATATATTTATGTAAGCTTATGCACTTATACATAATTTGGTGAGAATTTATCATCTATATCCAACTCATCCTCGCAAGCCAGGGGTCCTGAGTCAACATGTTGCCATTGGACCCCTGGCATATTTCATTCAATATTTGTGGGCTGACTGTAGCGACGTCTTTCGGAAAAATTACAAATCTTGATTGTTTTTCTCATCTCTCAACCAATCATATTAAGCCATTCTATGATAAACAACTTGTAACACGTGCATTTGAGGTGTCAACTGAATCTTTATCTAACTATTTATGAAAGCTTTAATTTGATTGGTGCTTCTCAATGAGAGAAGCAAGCCCACGATTATTGAATGAAATATGCCAGGGGTCCAACGGCAACGTGTTGACTCAGGACCCCTGGCTTGCAAGGATGTATCCAACTTGTTAGATTTCAATTTTAAAGAAACTGTTCAAGATATTCTCTTCAAATTTCATACACTAATACAAATTTTCATGTTGCATTACTAATATACCCTCGACGGGGCATTCATGTCCTATGGACATATTTCTAGTTTTAATAATCATGGGTAGACTTTACTATACTGGTCCCCAGATCCGCAAGATCTGCACACTCATTGCACTATGACATAAGGATTACATCACTCAACTGAAAAGGGTTAGTCTTGCACATTTTTCAACTGGTTAGGGTTAGTCTTGCACCCACCTGAAAGATTAGGGTTAGTCCTTGCACAAGTTTTTGACTGATTAGGGTTAGTCTTGCATCCATCCCAGAAATTAGGGTTAGTGGTCGCACACGAGTTAGTCTAGCATTCGCCTGGGACCTTTGGATTAGTCCTTGCATACTATCAAAGACATTAGGGTTAGTGTTGTTTTAGATAAATTAAGAAATTCAGTTGCATCTATATTTTTGGCAAGATCTTAATTTAGCTTCAACGTCATCTCATTGGTTTGTTTAGATGAAAAAAGGCTAAGTATGAAAGAAAATGGCACTAGGCATGCCCCACATGTGCTTCTTGACAATTATTTTTTGTCTCCTTTTCACTGAATAAACAATATTAATTACTTTTTTCAGATAACAAGGTTAAAAACTTAGTTTAAAAACAAAGTTTTTAAACTAAACTTTTAACCATAGAATTCAATTTTGGGGTCAAAATGGCTTAAAACCTCATACTTTTTTTTTTTTTTGGATCACTCACATGATCTCATATATTGAAGTTGCTTGCAGAGACACTATATTTTAGCTTGTTTTACTGGGGACCTGTAAAGTAAAGTTGTTCCAATAATTACATCTTGTAAGGTCATTTCAAATAATTGGGATTTGATGCTGCTTTCTTAATTCTTTGCTTAGATACAAAGTATTAGAAATAAATAAATGTCATACATTTAAAAGGACTTCAGCAGACATGTAACGTCCGCCATATTTGATTGGTTTCTCTCTATATATGAGGGTGTCCCTTTATAAAGCCGCTGACTTTTTTTTTTTTTTTTTTTTTTTTAAACCTCAAGAAATTTTTGTTTTATTACCGTGTGCAAATTTATTATTGTCAAAATCTGCATTGAAAATAAATATGCATTTGTAGCCAAGTCCCAGCTAATTTAGTTCATCTTGTATGTCGTCTTGAATTTGGTTTTACAATACCGTTACAGTTCAGTTAAATTGCAATCCTTTTTTTTAGGTCACCTGAGTCACTCAGGTGACCTATTGCTATCTGTTTTTGT